CTGTCCGCAGCCTCTGAAGTGCAGGTTCGATCCTGGCCAGCCAGGGAGATACCCACGTGGCATGGCAGACCTCTCCTGCCTCGCCCACTGCTCCCCTCAGCAGTGTATTCCAGTCAGTCTGCCTGTTCTGTTTCCCGCTCTGTCTCTGGTGAATCCTCTCACCATCCCGCACATTTGGCCTGTACCCCCATTCTTGTATAAATAAATAAATCTTAAGAAAAAATAAAATAAAAATAAATAAATAAATACCTTCACCCCTTTTGGTATTAGGGCAATGTTGACTTCGTAAAACAATCTTAGAATAGTTCTCTCCTATTTTTTTTTAAAGATTTATTTATTTATTTCTACAAGCACTGGGTACAGTCAGAAGCACAGGAGGGTGAGAGAATTCACCAGAGCCAGAGCGGAGAGCAGAACAGGCAGACTGACGAAACACACTACTGAGGGGAGCAGCGGGTGGCAGGAGAGGTCTGTGCGCCATGTGGGACCCTCCCGCCGGCGGCCAGGGAATTGAACCGGCGCTGCAGAGGCTGCAGGCAGCTTTGCAACCCAGCACTCAACCGCTGTGCCACCGGGAAGGCCCTCTCCTTTTTTTTTTTTTTTTTTTGATACACTCATCTCAACTTTTTATGAATGATCACTACAGTGGTAATATAAATGTCTCTGGGTTTGGAGATGTTAGAATAAACATTAGAAAATGAAATGAAAAAATGGTGACTAAAATTCTTTCCCACTGCCACCCCTCTTGCCCCTTGTCCTTTTCCCTCTCCCCGTTCTCTGAACCTCAGAGCCCAAGGGGTATTTGTTGATGTCCAATAGTTTTTGAAGGTGTTTTGCATTGTAGAATGGTCCATTATATGTATGTCCAATATTTGTTTTTATCCTTCTTTGTTGTGCTGCATGTAAATTTTTCAAATTCCCTCCATTTTGTTGGAAATAACAGCATTTTCTCCTTTCTTATGGCTCTGTAATATTGCCTGGTGTGTATGTGCATCTTTTTGGTCCATTCCTCCATTGGAGGAGATGCCATTTTCTTTTTAACATTGAAAACCATCTGTGATAAAAGTCTGTACTTGGCCCAGAGGGTGACAAATTAGAGGGTTCTGCTTCATTTCCTTCATATTTCAGTTGTCTGGATATAACAGTTACGTCAAGCCTAACTCCCAAACATTTTCTTTAAGATTATAATTAGTCCTAATCATAGACTTTTTTAAAAAGATTTATTTTATTTATTTATGCATACAAGAGCTGGGGTATAGGCCAGAGGTGCAGGTGAAAGGATTCACCAGAGACAGACTGGGGAACAAACAGGTGGATTGACTGAAATACACTGCTGAGGAGAGCAGTGGGTGAGACAGGAGAGGTCTGCTGCACCACGTGTGGGTTAGCTTCCTAGCCGGGGATGGAACTCAGGTCGTTGCAATGAAAACTTGTTCCCTAGGCCACCAAGGAGGCCTGTAATCATAGTCTGAAAGGTGATATCCTGCACACAATTCTATTCTTTGGTGCCATTTCTCTTACTGTGTACTATCATGTATTGATGTAGTGACTCAACCTTAGTGTCCTCAATGCCGAAAGTTAAAAGTATTATTCTTATTTAACTTTGAAAGACATCAATTAATTTATCCAGTGGGAAGGGGAAAGCCTATTTTCTAAACCAAAGACTTCTAAACCAACATTTGTAGAATCTAAACTAAGTACAAGTTGTTGTACTAAGCACCTTCCCAGTATTATCCCACAAAACCTCCCCTGCAGCTCTGACATTTTTAGGATCACTATCTCTATCTTTGGATGATGAAACCGAGGCCAACAGCAGTTAAAAACTTGCCCCAAGTCACAAAACTAGAAAGTGACAGCCTACATTCAAACATCTGGATTTGAAGCTAAAAACTTTGTGTCAGGGGTCTCCCTGGTCACGCAGGGGTTAAATTCTCAGTGCTTTCATGGCAGCCACTGTGGCCTGAGTTCCATCCCCAACCAGGGAACTAACCCACATGGCACAGCAGACCTCTCCTGTCTCTTCCATTGCTCCCTTCAGCAGTGTATTTCAGTAGATCCACCTGTTCTGCCCCCCACTCTGTCTCTGGAGAATCCTCTCACCCCCGCACCTCTGGCCTGTACCCCAGTTCTTGTATGCATAAGTAAATAATTCTTTTAAAAAAAATTTGTATCAACCAAAGTTCAAACACAGAATCTCCCTGCATCCCATTTTGCATCTGCTTTTATTGGAAGGAGTCAGAATGGATGCTCTGAAGATAAAGATTTGATCTTTTCAATCCCTTAGACTCAGCAAACCATCCTGCTGAATGCCTGGTTATGGAAATAGAGTTTTAATAGCACACAGCCACACCTGTTCATTTACATATTGTCTGACTGCTTTCATTCAACACCAGAGCTGGGGAGTGGCTACAGGGCCATCTGGCCGTTGTATAAAATATTTACTACAGGGCCCTTTACAGTTTTCCTACCCAGCTTCAGCCTTTACGGCTTCAAGCCAAGACCAAAGCGCATAGTAGCTCAAATTCTGGCCTACCTGACTGTGACTCATTGTAGGAGACTTGTGCTGGCCGTGCCAGTGTCCTTCCCATTCTGCTGTCAAAGCACCATCAGAGAGCCGTGACGGATGCCGAGCCACCAAGAGAACAATCTTGTTGGCAGCAAGCATTCCTGGCCTCCTCTACCAACCATGAGCAAAAATGCTTTTGAGTTGTTACTTCAAAGGCTTTTAGAAAACCAGAAATGCTATTAGTCTTTCCATCTCTGGCTCCTTGCTTTCTATTCAAATTTCAAGAACAGCAGGCGCCAAGAGATTGTTAAAATGTTCCCATTGCACACTAAGTCAACTAAAATAGCAACCAGCAGAGCCAAGAACAGAAACCCACTGCTCTGAAGAATAATTTCCCTAAACCCATAAAGGCACAGGTTCCCCTTTAAAACTCCTTCAACACCATAAAATGAAAGCAGTGCCGGGATTTAGCATATTGTTGTTTTTGTTGTTTGGAGGTCACCCACAGATGGTGTTTCACTCTTCCTGCTAAGGACTTCCTCTGTTCTCTCTTCCTTTTATGGTTGCCACAGAGCATGATGGGGTGTCATGGCTTCAAGGTGCCCTTCCACCATTGGGAAGGGAGGCTGCCATCCACATTTAATTCAGCCCTATCTTCTTCCTCCTTAGACACACAGATCAAAGATAGCTCTTGCTATCCTGCACGAACTCAAAGCCCTTTGCATCACCTCCCTCCTCTTGCCACACCTGAAACATGTTTCTGAAGAGGTTCCTTTTCAAGATTTTGTTTCACCAAGAGACTTTATTTGCAGGATAAGCCAGGTGTAGCAGGCAGCAAGGGAAAGTGTGGCACACTGGGGCCTCCCTGGTGGTGCAGGGGTTAAGTCTCAGCACTATGATCCCCAGCCACCTAGGGAGCTGACCCACATGGCACAGCAGACCTCTCCTGCCTCACCTGCTGCTCTCCTCAGCAGTGTATTTCAGGCAGTCTGCCTGTTCTGCTCCTCACTCTGTCTCTGGTGAACACTCTCACCCCCTACACCTCTGGCCTGTACTCCAGTTCTTGTATGCATAAATAAATCAATCTTTAAAAAAAAAAAAAGGGGGCCTCCCCTGGTGGCGTAGGCGGTTGAGCTCAGTGCTGTGGAGCTGTGTGCTGCTTCTGCAGCACCGGTTCGATCCCGGCTGGCCGGCGAGGGTCCCACATGGCACGACAGACCTCTCCTGTCATGCCCGCTGCTCCCCTCAGCAGTGTATTTAGTCAGTCTGCCTGTTCTTTTCCCCGCTCTGTCTCTGGTGAATCCTCTCACCCTCCCGCAGATCTGGCCTGTACCCTGGTTCTTGTATAAATAAATAAATAAATCTTAAAAAAAAAAAGCAAGTGTGGCACATAACTCTCTAGTTGTGCGGGTCCTCTTCTCCTCCCTCCTCTGGAGCTGCAAGATACCAGTGAGGACAGTAAGGCTTTCCGGGTGCCCCTGCACTCAGTGCCTGGGAGATGAAGAATTAGCCCAAGAAGGGTCTGGAGAATCAACCACCCTGGTGCTCTGCCCTGGTCTGCTCTCTCTACCTGTGGGCTTGCACCAGGAAGAGGATTTTCTAGAATCCATTGCATATCTGAGAAACCCAAATATTGTCCTCATCATGTCAAACTCTTATAAAAGCAAATGTATCCATCTGTAATTCAGCTTTCTGATTTGCCTGCAGTTGATTTCAAAACATGTCAAGCTTCCTTTTCTAGTTTTCCTTTTCTCTCTGTATTGGGCCCTATCCACCGCTAAATAGTGTACTCTGATAATCCTGGGAAATGTGTTAAATAACCTATAGGTACAACTGTCTGTTGAGAGACCCCAGGACTCACAAAGATCCGGTGTCCTGGTTTTGTAGACCCTGAATTTCAAATCCTCATTTTCCACCACAGTCTTGGAGCTCACTTGCTAAAGATGATTAATTTGCAGACCAGGGTTTGGACTTCATTTTTACAGTTCCATAGCTATTTCATACTCTGCAGTTGTACCTAGAGAGTGAATTATTTGAGGCCTCCATTCTTGGTGTCAGTTCTTGAAGAAAATGAGGTGAGGGCCTCCCCTGGTGGTGCTGGGTTGCGAAGCTGCCCACAGCCTCTGCAGCGCCGGTTCGATCCCTGGCCACTGGCAAGGGTCCCACATGGCGCGACAGACCTCTCCTGCCACTCCCGCTGCTCCCCTCAGCAGTGCACTTCATCAGTCTGCCTGTTTTGTTCCCTGCTCTGGCTCTGGTGAATTCTCTCACCCTCCCGCGCTTGTGACTGTACCCAGTGCTTGTAGAAATAAATAAATAAATCTTAAAAAAAAAAAAGAAAAGAAAATGAGGTGAATGACCTGGAGTTTGTAAATTCCACATACCAACTCCATGTCTCAAGCACTCAAATAGTTAAGGCTCTTTGGTTGCAAGAGAGAGAAACTTGTTCAAACTAACTTAGTCAAAAGAGAATTTATTATAGGGATACAAGGGTATTTCAGGGACCAAAGGACTGAAAGGTCTCCAGAGATTTAAAAAAAACTTATTTCTCTCTTTTTCTGTTTCTATTCCTCCATATTATCTTTCTCCCTATCTCTCTCTTCCCTCTCCATTGCTTTCTCTTCTCCCTATATTTTCTTTAGTTATCTCTCTCACTCTCCTCTCTGTCTCTCTGTCTTTCTGTCTCTCTCCTTTCCCCTCTTTTTACCCTCCCTCCCCCACATGGTTGCTTATCTCTGCTTTTCCCTGCATATTTATTTCCATGTGCTCAGGTCAGGCAACATCTCTGTGCATGTCTGGATCCCATTCTAAATTCCCAGGAGCAAAGCCAATGGCCTGATGGGGTTGAATCTACTCCCCTGACCCAGTAAGCTGTGGTCACAGAAGGGTGAGAAAGAATAGCTAAGTACAGGTGCTGCAGCGCCCTCTGGAGGTTGGATGATCTCACACAAAGGAAGAGGTAATGGGCTGGGAAGGCACCCCAAACAGTTCAGATTGCAGAGATCAAACATGAGATGTCTAACCTACTGCGCCGGTTTTCTCTGGTTGGTGATTGAAAGGATTAAGATGTGACGTGGGAGTAAGCTGAGGGCTGACTTGTGAAAGGGTTCCCAACCTCCATGGTGCTCCAAGACAGGAATAGGGCCAGTGGATACCTGTAGCAAGAAAGTGGATTTCTGTTTTATGTATAGAACCTTCCGACACTTAGAACCCATCTCTCCCTCTGTCATTCTTCCCTTGTCCCCAAAAGCCAAGTTTGATGCCAGAATGCCCTCCTATCCCTCTTTTCTTATTCAGACTGTTTTACAGAATCACTTGTAGGCATTTATTGCTCAGAGAAAAGATAGCCAACTTTACAAATGAGCAAACAAAGGTGAGGTGACTTGGTTAGGGTCCCAAATTAATAGTGGTGTGTGCAGATCCACAGCTAGAATCCAAGTTCCATCCTGCCACTCTGCCCAGGTTCCCCAATATCCCTCTGCTCCCAAAGTAGTTCCATTGGCCCCACAGGAACTGACCTGCACTTGGTATCCTTATTGAAGCCTCTTCAGATCTCAGACTCATGCCTGGATTCCAGCATCTGCCCTGTATGTGAGTAGTAAGAGTGAGGGTCTACATGTATTTGAAAGCTGAAGCTTTTCCCCTCCCCTTTCCCCAAAATATTGCTCGCAAAGTGGCATTTGTCGCTTTTCAGTCATTATGTCTTCCTTCAAGATAAGTATTCAAGCAAAATACAGAGGTAGTAAGCAAGATTACTGGGTTCGAATCTACTCCATCTAGTTCCTGAGGATGTGTGAGCGTGTCTCTGCTCTGTCCCCACTTCTGCCTCGCTCCTCCTCATCCATTTCAGGAGTCACCCCTTGCAGGTACCGCTCTGACTCTCATTCCTGCTCACCCCCAAACAGCCCACTTCATTAAAGAGCCCTCTGTGTTCCCCCAGCCCTTACATTTAACACATACAACCTAAATTAGTATAACTCAGAGGTTAAGGGCACAGCAGGTGGAAGTCAAATCATCCACTCCTCACTAACTTTGTGACCTTGGGTCAGTTACTGAACCTCTCTAAACCTATCTCATCTATAAAATGGGACTGATAGTATATCCTAGGAGCAGCATTCCCTGAGATAAGTGTGTAGTTAAGTGAGTAGTGAACATGTGATTGACACCTAGCTCTCAGCACTATAATTAGGTGAAAATTAACTTGTAAGGGGACATGGTGCACTCCCCGTGTGACAGGGCCCGGCCTTGAACAACACACAGGAGTAGTGATGATAGTAGTGTCAACATTTCTCACACCGCCCTTGATATTTCGTGTTGACGTGTCTGCCTCATCTATGGGAAAAGGGTGTGCCCTTTGCTCTCTGAATCCCCAGTGGCCTGGCATATACTGGACATCTAATAAACAGATGTTGAATGAACAAAATGAACAAATTCAGGCAACACAGGCCATAAAAGTTAATTCAAAGTCACTCCCCTGTGCAGAAGGCACATTCATACTGATCTGAAGGTTCTAAGGCAAGAGTTGGCCCACTTCTGTAAAATGCCAGATAACAAGTTTTTAGACTTTTGCAACCATTCAACTATTCTGCTCTTGCCGTGGGAAGGCAGCAACAGACCAGTAAAGGAACACGTGTAGCTGTATCCCAATAAAAATTTACTTATGGGCACCAAAGCTGGAACTTGGTATTGTTTTCACAAGTCGTAAAATGTTATTCTTTAGATTTCCCCCCACTCACTTAAAAACGTAAAACTACCCTTAGTTCACTAGCCATTCAAACGCAGGGGGACAGTATGAGCGAGCCCGCCAGCAGCGGCTTACGCACCCTCGTTCCGCAGGGCTTAGAAAGGCGGGCCTCGAAATGGTCCAGGCAGAGTGGGCAGGGCCATGGGCTCGGCATTCAGCCAATCAGCGTGGTGTTGCCGCCTCGCCCCGCCTCGCGCCGGCGTCCCCTGTCACGCGGGGAGTGCGCCACGCCCCCTTGCGCGTCCAGCTCCACTTCCGGGCACAGGCCGGCATGACGTCAGGAGGAGGGCAGGTAAGTGCGGGCGGAGGGGTGGGCAGGCCGAGTTGGCCCAGGGGTCTGGCCGCTGCCTCACCTGGCCTCGAACTGCTGACCCGAATGGGCACGCTGGGGAACGCAGGACTCTACGGACGCGAGTCCAGGGCGTGTTCGGGTCCCAGTCATGACCTCCGACCCAAATTTCCAGGCCCCGGCAGCAGCCCCAGCCCTGGCCCATTTTATGGCTAAAGGACTTCTGGGTTTACCTCATCTGGAAAACGGGACCAGTAAGCACCCACCTCGCTGGGTCATGGTAAAGGTTTTGTAAAAGAACGCTTGTAAAACGGTGGATGCGAGAAATAATTAAAACTACCAGCGTTTTAATTCATCATTAGGTACTGTTTCAAGAACTTGAACTCACTGAATCTTGACAGTGAGCTTGTCTAGTCGACCCTTTTATAAGCCCCGTTTTACAGGTGAGGAGAGGCTTAGAGAAAGTAAGAAATTTGCCCAAAGTCATGCAACTAAGAAACAGGATCAGTGTCCCAGCCGTTTGTCCTGGACAAATGCATTTTTGTAATCACTCATAACAAGAACCGAAGATTATACAGCCTCCCTGTAGCCCCACCTGTGACATTCACTGATGGGGTTAAACCATAGTAAGACCTCCAAACTCTTACAAACCAGGTACTTTGTGCAAGCACTTTCTACTGTGTTACTTCATTCACAGCAACCCCAGAAAGTCAGTCCTGTTATCCTCATCCCTTGTTTACAGGTGAAGAAATACAAGTTCAGAGAAGCTCAGACAGTGTCTAGGCCACCCAGCTAGTAGCAAGTGGAACTGGGATTCAAGCCAGGAACCGTGTTCCCAAATCCTGGGTAAGCACTTAGCTATCTTGTTTGAGAAAGCATTTTTCGGTTGGAAGTTACCTTAGGGAAGTCTAGTTCAGGCACATGCTTCAAATATGGAGGACCTGAGTTAGAAAGAAGTTCAGGGCCATAATGGACAAGAATTTGCACCCCTGCTGACCTCCACATCAGCTAGTGAACCTGAGCAATTAACTTAAGCTCCCATGTCCTCATTCACATCTGGAGAGAATAGTAATAACACAGAGTAGTTGAGGCAGTGATGTCAGACTCAGCTCAGTGCCTGGCACACAATAAGTTGGCAGAAACCTCTAGAGGTCAAACTTCCTGGTTTTAACTCAGGGAGCCAGCAAATGGCACCCACAAGTCAAACGCAGCCCAATGCCTCATTTTGTCCAGTCTGCCAGCTAATAATGGGTTTAAATTCTTAAACTGTTGGGGAAAAACATAAAAAGGAGAGTAATATTTTGTGACAGGTGATAATCATGTGGGATTCTATTTTCATGTCAGTAAATAAAGTTTTATTGGAATGCAGCCACACCATTTATTTACATATTGTGTCTGATTGCTTCCTAATTTTGACAGCAGAGTGAGTGGATTCTGGGACAGAGACACTAGCCAAAAAAGCCAGAAATATTTACTAACTGTCCCTTGATGGAGAAAATTTGCCCATTCTAGAATATGCTTCAGTTCCTTATTGTGTCTCTCTTTAGAGTAAAGTAGAGCTTCTTTCTATATGAACTAAAAGTCTTTCCCTCAAACATGCAGGGGAAGGGGATCTTCCTGCCACCCAGTTTAAGGAGCCCTTCCCTCTGTCATCCATAATGATTTTTTTTTTTAATAATGATTCTTCTGGATCAATTCTCAATCAGTTAGTTATGTGTGGTTCATAAATCATGTATGGTGGGGCCAGGCACTACCCTAGGTGGTAGAGATAACAGCATGGTGTGACTCGGAGGAGCAGACACACTAGACAATAAATAGAAACAAGATGATGTGATGGGGACCAATCAAGGAGTGCCCAACTAAGTGGTCAGATGAGACCTTAGAGAGAGGTGATGTTTGAATTGAGACCTGCAACACAGAACAGACAGCTGGTGGAAGAACATGAATGGAACACAATGAAGCAGAAGGAGAGGGATCAGAGGTGAACTTGGAGAGGGAGACAGGGGCCCCACAGCCCTGGGGAGGAATTTGACTCGATTCTCAAAGCAGTGGCAATCAATTGGAAGGTTTTGATTTCTATTCAGATTTCTATTTTAAGAGATCTATCTGGCCCTTGCGTCGAGAACAGACCCCAGGGTCAAGTGCAGAGCAGAAGACCAGGAAGCAGGCAACAGCACTGGACCAGGTGAGTGATGATGGAAGCTGTGAAAAGTAAAAAGTGGCAGGTAGGAAGTGTGCTGGATAAAGAGTGGACAGGTCACACTTTCAAAACAAACAAATACTGCTCATTAGGTGCCTCCTACCCTGGGGAGACTCATCTGAACCTCACCACATAGTCCATAGCATCTTCACAGGGAAACTATGGCCTCTCTGCCAGACTCCAGGAGGGAGGGGCTGGGAAGTGGTTCAGAACCCCACAATTGGTGTCTTTTCTTTTCAGATTAGTCGTGTCAAGCGCGAGGATTGCTAGACAGCTCCCAAGATGGTGAGTGGACTGACTTTGGGCTCACTGGGTTTTTCTTCTGGTCTTTATGGGGCTTCCCATAAGCAGGACATCCTTCCTCTGAAGTCCCCTCCCCATAACGTTTTCCAGCTCAGTCATGAACTTTCAGTGCAGTGGTTCTCAAACTTTGCTGGGCACTAAAATCACCCAGAGAGCTTTTTTTTTTCATTTTCTTTTAGTTTACTTTTTTTTTTTTTTTTTGAGGTAACATTGGTCCACAACATTATATATGATTTAGAGGGGTTTTTTTCTATTTTTTTTTAAGGAGGTGAAATTCACATACATAAAATGAAGCATTTTAAAGTGCATCATTTAGCACATTCACAATGGTGTGCAACCACCGCCATTGTCTAGTTCCAAAACATTCCACCCAAAAGGAAAGTCCATAAGCAGTCACTCCCCACACACTTCCCCTAACCCCCTGGCAACCACCAACCTACTTCCTATCTCCGTGGATTTACCTATTCTGGATATTTCATGTAAAGGGAATCATGACTTCTTTCACTTAATGTACCTGGCTTCTTTCACTTAACATAATGTTATCAAGGGTCATCTATGTTATAACATGTATCAGGGTTTAGTTCCTTTTCACAGCTGAATAACATTCCGCGTGTAGATGGATCACATTTTATTTATCCATTCATAACTTGATAGCCATTTGGGTCTCCACCCCTTGGTTATTGTTACTAACCCTGCTGTGAACCTGTATGTACAAAGATCTGTTTAAACCTGTGTTTTTTGGGTTGTTTTTTAAAATTCCAGTGTCCAGGTGCCACACATCAGGGCAGATCCTCCTTTCAGGAGGTGGGGCCCAGGCTTCAGTATTTGAGAAACTCCCAAGGTGGTTATAAAGTGCAGCCAAGTGGGGCCTCCCCGGTGGCGCAGCGGTTGAGCGCTGGGTTGCGAAGCTGCCTGCGGACTTTGCGGCGCCAGTTCGATCCCCGGCTGCTCCCCGGCCACTGGAGGAGGGTCCCACATGGCGCGCAGACCTCTCCTGCCGCCCGCTGCTCCCCTCAGCAGTGTACTTCGATCCTTCTGCCTGCTCTGCTCCCCGCTCTGGCTCTGGTGAATTCTCTCACCCTCCCGCGCTTCTGACTGTACCCAATGCATGTACAAAACAAACAAATGAATACATAAATAAATAAATAAAAATACATGCCTCTCTTAAAAAAAAAAAATAAAAAATAAAAAAAAAAAAAAATAAAGTGCAGCCAAGTTTGCAGCCCTCTGTTCCAGTGGGTCACTAAGTTAACTAAGCAGATGGCCACCAGCATTTAAAAAGAGACACTCGCAGCAGCCTGTGTTAAAGTGTTCTTTCTTGAGACCTATGCTTCAGCTATATCACATATGTATCACCTGTATTTGGGCAGTTGCGATGCTAAAAAATAGCTTTCACCTGTGAAAGCTATTGCCTAGGAGTGTCTGAGCCTCACAGAGTTTCCCAAGGGGACAGTGGATTTTTCTCCCAAATCGCTAGTCCTGGATCAGACATGGAGCCCAGGACCGTCCTCTGCAATGTTCCCCAGTGCTCCCCGAGAGGCCAAGTAGGTCTCCCTTGGGACCCTGTCTGAATCACATGTCTCTTCCACTTTTCAGGGGGAAAGGAAAGGCGTGAATAAATACTACCCTCCGGACTTCAACCCGGAAAAGGTAAGGGTGCAGACTCCCATCTCATTCACAATAGCAATGTGACCCCGAGGCAGGACCCACATAGCATCTCATCCCCACCTGGAGTCAGAGCCTTGGCTGCAGGAGCCTGTGTCACCCCAAGCGCTCATCGCTTTGTGCTTGTTGCATGAGTTGCAGGACCGTGTTCACCCCCAGTGGAAACTGTGGCTCCCATTGTGACCACTTGCTTTATGCCCAGCTTGGTATCTTCCTAACAGAGCTCAGAATATTTAGCACATGGGCTCTGATCGGACCCCCTCAATTTCCCAGCTCCAGTCCTGTTGATCTCGTCATATAAGAAAGCTCAGGCGAAAAGGGTCTGGAGAGTCGGTTCAGGGGACAAGGCTCAGAGGACAAATTTCAGGAGATAAGTCCCAAGAGAGAAGGTTTAGGGGTGAAGATTCAGGGGAGAAACCCAGGAAAATAAGTTCAGGATAAAAGGTCAGAGGACAAGTCTCCCTCAGTTGTTCCCTCTGCTCAGAAGCCTTTCCTCCTTTTGGCCACAGGCCCCCTTCCCTTCCTTAAGTCTCTCCTCACACAGCATTCTACCTGGTGAAGTCTACCTAGTGAACATTCCTCTGCATAGTGCTTTATTTCTCTTTCGTGGCCCTTAAAACACCCTGATAGGTTCTCCCTGAGGAGGTATTGTCCATCTCTCCCTCTAGAATATCCAATGCATGAGAGTGGGAACATTCATGTCTCGTCCATGGCCTTGTCCCCATACATAGGTGCTCCATAAGGGTCTCGTGAGCAAATCAGCACATCCTGGCCTCATGGTCCCAGACACATGACTCAGACTCTCTAGGCCACAGTTTCCCACAAGACAAAAGGGGGCAGTAAAATGACCTGACCACACAGAATCAGCAAGGGCTGAAGAGGAAGTGGTGCTCATAAAGTGCCCGGTGAGCATTTGCCAGTGTTGTCATCTCCCTGGCCCTCTCCACAGCACCTGGAGAGTAATCATGATCACTGTCCCCAGTGGCAGGAAGGGGAAAGCAAAGCTCGGGAGGGCAGAAGGTGAAACCTCATAGCTCTTATTCCTGATTCCAGCCCCTCTTGCTCCACCAAGGCCTTTGTTGTTAACACCCCCCGCAGGACATGAGAGGCCTCCCTCAGCCTGTGAGCAAGCAGGTGCTCCCCAAGCTCTGCAGCACTAACCTGCTCCCTCACCCTTTCAATACAGCATGGCTCTCTCAACCGATACCACAACAGCCACCCACTTCGGGAGCGAGCTCGAAAGCTGTCCCAGGGCATCCTCATCATCAGGTAAGGTCCCAGCCCTCATCCTAGGACTCCTGCCCTTTGTGCTACCTGGTGTCAATCACCAGGAGAATTCAGCACCCCAATTCTGTCCAGTGCTACAGGATCTTAATCCTGAAAAGCAGCATCAGTCAGCCATTGCCTTATAGCTAAACGACATCCATGTACTATTTCTGGGTGCTTCTGCTGGCCTGGGCAGCCCTGTGTTTGGACATTCTCAGCTGGTGCAGCTGGGCTCCACCGCGCGCCTCTCCTCCTCCATCAGGCTAGCTCAGGATTGTTCACATAACACTTCCAAAGAGAGTGAGCAGACGTGTACAAGAACTCCTGAGAATGAAACCCTGAAACTGGCACTTGTTCTTTCTGGCTCATCAGTGCCTAAAGCTGTTCGGGATGCCAGGCAGTACACACCACCTCTCAGCAGAAAACGCTGCAAACTCCACTGCAAAGTGCACAGATTGGGGAGGATTAAGGATCACAGCCACCACCGCAACAAAGCCAGACAGTGGCCCTTCCCAAGGGATGCGCCTCTTGTGTCATCCCTGGCAGCAGTGGTGAGCCAGCTGTGAGCCCACTGCTGCTGCTTTCTTTACCCCATGGAATCTGACCTCAGTCAGGGTGTACTCTGGGCCTAAGCATTAAATCTAATGACAGAGTTGGAATGTCTGTGGAAAAGGAGTCAAAACATGAGTGACCTTAGGGGACAAGGCTGAAGGACTCCTCAAAACTCCCAACACACCTCCACGCTCTGGAGCCAAACAGGCTCACCCGCCTCAGACCACGTACACCACCCCCCTCCACTGTTTGCTGAGCCCTTATCTCATCCTACAGCATCTTTAATGTGTCTCATTATAAGGTATTTTGTTTTTAAAAAGAAACAAAAGGTTTTTGTTTTTAAAAATTATCATTACTATCAATGGCAAATCAGAAGGACAGGTCACAGAACTATGGAAAAGAAACCACATGAGAGTACAGCAACTTGACTTGGATCTGACATCCCACAATCTGCTTCTACTTCTACTCCAAAGTTTGTTTAGCTGATAGTGATGAAACATAGAAGGCAACTGGGACTGTCACCCAGACCAGGCCAGCCAGCTGGAGAGCAGCAAAATAGGACTGACCTGGCTGGAGAACCGCCACCATCCTTTACCTTCCACTCATGCTTGCCTTTTGCAGTGTGATGGCAGCCAGAGTCTAGGATATAGAGACCCATGGAGCGCCCAAGTGGAAAGGCACAAATACAGTATTCCCCCCTTATTTTGAGGGGTAATCATCTTAGACCCCCAGAGGATGCCTAAAACCAAGGATAATCCCAAACCCTACATAGTCCTTTGTCACTTGATGTGAGGTCCCAGTGCCCAAAACAGTGGTGCCAGTCGGCCATATCCCCTGGCCTAGGTGTGTGTCATTACACTATATGACATTTGCTCACACAAAGACTAAATCACCTAACAATGCATTTCTCACAGCATGTCCCTTTAGTAAGCTACACGTGACTATATTTTTCCCTGCACATACATGCCTGTGGTTACATTTAATCTGTAAATTTGGCATAGTAAGAGATTAACAATAGTACCAACAAAATACAACAATTGTAACATTATACTGTAGTAAAAGTTACGTGCTCTGTCTCAAAATTTCTTACTGCATGGAATATTTCAGACCACAGTTGACCTCAAGAAACTGAAACTAAGAAAGCAAATCTGCAAATAAGGGGGCATGACAGTAAACTGTTTTCTGTTGTGTAGATTCGAGATGCCATATAACATCTGGTGTGACGGCTGCAAGAACCACATCGGAATGGGTGAGCTTCTACCTTCCCTTACCCCTTTTCATCCCCACTCAGATGGCGATCCCCTTAATAGCTGCTGGGCACCATGATAAACCTTCTCCACAGGGTTGGGAGGGCTCCCAGTCAGGAATAAGGAGGAAACAGGAGCTCAAGTGACCAGTGGACTGTGTGCTTCTCAGTGCAGATTAGGCCAGTAAGAGGTCCTGTTTCTGCCACCTCTTAGGTGGATAACCCTGGGCACAAGACTGAACCGTTTTGTGCCTCAGTTTACCTGCCTATAAAACTCAGGAGTTATCAGTGCCCACCTGTATGTCATGTAAATTGCTTGGTGTATAGCACATGATGTGTGGGAGGCTTCATAAACTCAAAGTGCTACTGCTCTTGCTTTACCTTTAGCCTTCAAAACCCTGACCTTGCCATTGGTGCGCAGATGGGCAGGCAGATATGGGTCCACTCAACAACTCAGTAGCCATGACACGGCAGGCAGGTGACTCAACCCCACTGGCTTCTGTCTCCTCCTCTGTAATACAGGGATCCTCCATTCACAGAAGGAGGGGCCAGGCCATCTCACTGCTGAGGATGAGTAAGCCCTCAACACATCCCCCTGATTAGACCTAGCAAAGGGCATCTGTCCCAAAGGCCACCAGGTTCTCAGGGGACATCACTCATGGGTCATCCTCAGGGGCATTAATAGAAGCAGCCACCCAGGGAAAGAAAACACAAGCAGACTACACCACCCACCAACCAAGCTCTGTCTTTCTAGTTTAAACTTTTTTTACCCAAAAAGCAAGGTCATACAGAGTCAAGAATATATAACATCTGACAATACAAAACAGAATCTGAGACATGCTCTAGAAAAATAATCAAAGCCAAACCTTTCATGAACACTTGCTGAGTACTAGGCCCTATTGTAAGGGACCCATGTGTATGATTAGCTCCTTTCTCCCAACAGCCCCGTGAAGTAGGTGTTATTGTCACCCCTATTGAATAGATGAGATGCTGAGCCATGATTCAAAACAAGGCCCTTGGGCTTCTGCCAACCCTTCTTCGTGGTTTGTGCATCTGACTCACAGATTGGACAGGGCTCTTTTTCCCCCTTGAATTCCAATGTCCTAAAGTGTCTCTTTGCAGAGGACCAGAGGACCACCCTCTACTCCCCCACCAGAAAAGAGCCTAAGTGCCAGCCTCTGCTCTTCCCTCTCTTCCTAGGTGTCCGTTACAATGCAGAAAAGAAGAAGGTTGGCAATTACTACACGACCCCGATCTACAGGTAGGGCGGGGCAGCCTGGCAAGCATCTCAGAGGGACACATGGGGTGACCATGTGGTGAGGGGCTGCAGAGGAACCTGAGTAGGAAGGTAGCTCATGCCCTATTCCTAATGGCCATTCCCTGCAGCCTCTCTTAGAAGCCACACTGATCTATCAGTCAAGGCATGCCCTCTGGCTAGAACCCTCCATGACTACCACCTTCCTCAGAGTAAGAGCCTAGTCCTCCCCAGGGCCCACAAGACCCCACGTGCTCTCATTTTACCTTTTCCCACTCTCCCCCTCACTCACTGTGCTCTAGCCACACAGATTGACTGTCCCTCACAACCCCCAGGGATGCTTCCACTTCCACCCTGCATCTGGAATACTGACTCTTCCCCAGATATCTGCAAGGATCCTTTTCTCACCTTGGGTTTCTCTTAACTTTGCTTCTAAGAGAGGCCTTTTCTAAAGTGGCGCTAGCCAGGCACTGTGGTTATTTGTGGCCTGCTGCCACATATGGACACGGGCCCCACTGGAATGTAAGCCTCTCAAGAACAAGTTGACTTGCTTTGCTGTGACCCTGGCAGCTACAGTGAGCTCAACGGGGTTTGTTAAATGAATGAACAAATGAGTGAGTGAATAAGCACACTCCTAACAGAAGATGAGTTCTGAGGTGATAGGACCATGTCTATCTTGCCCCAAGCTGGACCCCCAGATATGCAGCCCTGCGAGTAGTAAGTGCTTAGTTAACACATATTGAGTGATGTTCTTGATAGAAGGACACAGGCAGGTATCACAGGGGGTGTCCTGGGACACAGCTGCAGTATCCTGATCCCTGCCCACCACCCTCTACCCCTCCAGATTCCGGATGAAATGCCACCTCTGTGTCAACTACATTGAGATGCAGACAGACCCTGCCAACTGTGACTACGTGATTGTGAGTGGAGCCCAGCGCAAAGAGGAACGCTGGGACATGGAGGACAATGAGCAGGTGCTCACAACAGGTGAGTTTGATGGGTGGCCCAGGCCCCAGGCCTCACCCCAGCCTTGGTCTGGGACCAGACCAGTCATGATCTGCCCCGCCCACCGTAGAGCATGAGAAGAAGCAGAAACTGGAGACAGATGCCATGTTCCGCCTGGAGCATGGTGAGGCTGACCGGAGCACACTCAAGAAGGCCCTCCCCACCCTGAGCCACATCCAGGAGGCCCAGAGTGCCTGGAAAGATGATTTTGCCCTCAATAGCATGCTGCGGAAGAGGTTCCGGGTGAGTAGGACTCCGCCCCAGGGTCCAAACCACAGGCAGGCAAGTGTCCCACATTGGAGCTTGGAGAACACATATTGGCTGAAGACCCAGGTCCAGCCCTTGTCCCACACATCCTGACTATAAGAGGGTTGTTTTGCACTATGAGCCTCAGTTTTCCCATCTGCCATGTGGGGACCACATCTGTACCTCTTTGTGCCAATGGGAGGCAGCTAGCATAATGATGCTGTTAAGCACACAGCCCCTTCCCCTGGGAAGACTTTCAGCAGATCTTTAAATGGAAGGAAAGCCTCAGTCTGGGGTGCAGGTGAGGGCTGACTCTGCTCTGGGTAGCAGGCCATGGCCCAGTAGATCACTGACCTCCAAGCCAGCTCCTAACACACTGTCCTGAAATAAAATCCCTAGATCATCAACCCGCCCCAAAGAATTTCCACAGTCATCCCTGACTATAATAATAAAAAAAAAGGGAAAGTCACTTCTAGCAAACTCTAATAATGCATATTTCAGTATAGTCAAGACACCTGGACAGGAGTCACAAAGACACAGGGCATCCTGGGGTGTCGATGGCAGCCACCACGATGGCTACAGAAGTTATACCAAAAATACTTGGTAGGGAATATAACCAAGATGAAAATGCATACATTGTGCAAAAATGAAAAATGATGTAAAAAATATATAAAAATTAAATTAAAAAAAAATACTTGGGGACCTCCCCAGTGGCACAGCAGGTTGAGCAACATGCTGTGAAGCTGTCCACAGCCTCTGCAGCGCAGGTTCAATTCCCAGCCAGCCAGGGAGAAACCCACATGGCACATGCGCAGCAGACCTCTGCTGCCCTGCCCACTGCTGCCCTCAGCAGTGTCTTTGGTCCCTCTGCCTGTTCTGCTCCCTGCTCTGTCTCTGGTGAATTCTCTCACCCTCCTGCACCTCTGACCTGTACCCAGTTCTTGTTTAAATAAATACATCTTTAAAAAAAAAAACGGGGTGGACCCATGTCACAGGGAGTTGGGCTCCCACTTTACATAAGTACAACTGGTCCTTGGTTAGGGGCACTGAGCCACTGACCCCCACGTACAGTCAGAAATCTACATATAACTTTTGACACTACAGTGATCCCTTGGTATTCAGGGGGGATTGTCTTCAAGATCCCCACAGATTTGGTCACCAGAATCCACAGATGTGCATGTCCTATAGTTAGCCTCTGTATCCACATGTTCAGCATCCAAGGAGTCAACCAACCCACATCCCAGCTTGGTTGAAGCCCATGTTGTTCAAGGGTCAACTGCATAATATAAAGGAGGTTTTCACCCTTGTGGGCACCCAGCAGGCTCTAGAAAGAACTTTAGGATGCACAGCCTCTCCCTCTTTCCTCATTCTGAGCAGCTCATGATGCTGCAAATAGAGCCCAGGCAGGGGTATCTTGGGAGAAGGGACAAAGTTCTCCCCATCCTACTGCTCCAGCTTCTTCCTGGCTCCTTTTCTGATCATTCTGTGGCCATTATTATTCCGAAGGAAAGTGCTAGTTTTCCTGCTGCTTATTTGTTACTGAAAATATAGGCCTCCAACCAAGCCTGTTCCCTGAGACATATCTATGGCCTCTGAGCATCTTCACATGGGGTTATAAGGACCCTCAAATATATCATTCCATGGAGCTCTCACCAGTCTCTAACATGCACCCCCTACATCAGTAACAGGCAGCTACCTCATAGGCAGTAGGGGCCCAAAGCCTGGAGTTGGCCTTGACTCATCTTGTAATAATCACCGCTCCTCTTCCCCCATTTCTGTCAGGTTCTGGCTACTTTCATGACCCCCATCATCTGCCTGGACCAACATGGTCCCCCAACTCCCACCACCCTCCCATATGCACAGTCTTTCCCACACAGCCACTAGGGCGCTGGCAAGCACCTGAGTCCGATATCTCAGAACCCTCCATGGCTCCCACTTATTTAAGGTAGAAGTCAAGGTCCTCCTGTGGTCCACCAGACCTAAATGTTCTGCCCTCTTCCCCTTCCCACCCCTGCCCCTCTTCCCATTGCTCCTTCTGCTCCATCCACACTTCCCTGTGTTCCCCAACCACTCCAAGCATACTGCTGCTAGAGGGCCTTTGCACAGGCTGATTCCAAGGAGCACCCACCAGTCCTTAACTGCCCTGTGGAACACACGTTGGAACAAGTGTTCCACCTGGGAACATTTTTCCTCCACACACCACATGGGTCCCACAAACATCTTTTCTCAAATGGAGCCTTCTTAGGGAGACCACCCCTCACCCACCCATCTCCTGTGAGCCAATTTAAAATTGACTCCCCTGCCTATTCCCCACCTCCTTCCCATTATTCTTTTTCTCTTGCCTCTTGGTATCTCTTACCCACTAGAATGTCAGTGCCACAAGGGCAAGGACTTTTGTTTGCTCACTACTATGTCCCCTGTCTAGAAGGCCTAGCATAGGACAGATGGACATTCTGTGAACATTGTGGAGTGAATGAATGAAGCCCACCGGGCACATGTGTTAATAAGAATCATGTCTCTGCTTGCTAAGGGTCATCTTTGTCCCAGGCACTCTGTGAGGGCCTTTCCTTGCATAAGCTGACAGAAGGGGAAACTGAGGCCCTGAGAGTTGGAGCAGCGCTCCCTGGGTCATGGGGCATTAAGTGGCCGTGTTTTGATACCCATCATCCCTTCCCTCTTTCCCCACACACAGGAAAAGAAAAAGGCCATGCTGGAGGAGGAGGAGAGAGACCAGGCATTACAGGCAAAGGCAAGCCTGGCCATCCCACTGGTACCTGAGACGGAGGACGACCGCCGGCTGGCCGCACTACTCAAGTTCCACACCCTGGACTGTGCGTGGGGGGTCGGCATGCAACGGGGGTGGGGTGGTCCCCAGCCATGAGTCCCCAGACCAGAGGGTGGCTCTGCACCCTTCTCTCAAATGCCCCATTCTTCCCTCCCTCTTCAGCCTACGAGGATAAGCAGAAACTCAAGCGGACAGAGATCATCAGCCGCTCCTGGTTCCCTTCCACCGGAGGTCCCAGTCCCAGCAGCAGTGGCAGCAGCAAAACTGGCACTATCCTAAAGAAGCTGGCCCAGACCCGCAAATCCACACCCACTGGCAACCCTATCACCGTGGGCGATCTGGGCATAGTACGGCGGCGGTCCCGGGATATCTCAGAAAGCCCCCAGCACATGGCTGAGGGCCCCAAGTCTGGAGATCAGCCAGAGGAGACCATCCAGGACAGGCCTGCATCCCCACAAGACTGCTCTCAAGAGATAACTAAGACCCCTAAGAACTGTGTGTTGGAGGGGAGTTGTCAGGACAGACCTGGGTCCCCACCAGGCTCCTCCCAGGACATGTTGCACTCCTGCAGCCTCAGCTCCTCCCTTGTGGCCGACTACTCTGACTCAGAAAGTGAGTGAGCAATCTGAAGACTGGACCTGCTCCAGAGGCCATTACACACCCAGGGGGCCCTCGCAGACTATAGCCCAGTTCACCCACTCACCCACTGGTCATCAGAGGGCTCAGATCTGTGCTCCCACCCCACCTCACCTTCCCACATTAATGGAATTTTATTTATTTGGTCATAGAGAGGGTGTTTGTGCCTTTGCAGGGGAGGCGGGGGAGGTGGGGCAGCATCCAACATTAAAGTTTCTTTGCCCCTGCCTTGGGTTACTAGATGGGTCCAGGGGCTACAACCCCACCCGCCATCCAACCAAGCTTGGGAAGCTTCTAATCAGCAAATGTTGTGTGGGCCATAGCTGCAATCCCTACCCAGTGTGCTGAGAGTTTCAAAGTAGTGCCTCCAGTTGGCCTGCAATCAGGGCAGGCTTTCTAGAGAAGGCTTCCCAGACTGAGTGTGTGGAGGATGGAAAGGGGACTGGGCAGTGGGTGGCCACCTGGGGTGCCCAGGAGCATGTAGCTGGGGCATCTCATATTAAGTGTGGGCTATTCATCCCCAGCCCATGGGGATGTCTTTGAAGAGCCATGAGAAAGGGCCCCACCTACCATGTTGCTTGTTTTGTTTTTTTTTTTTTTTTTTTTTATAGAGGAGGCATGCTTTTATTTTTTTTTTTATTTATTTATTTGTTTGTTTGTTTGTTTTGTTTATACATGCACTGGGTATACATGCACAGTCAGAAGTGTGGGAGGGTGAGAGAATTCACCAGAGCCAGAGCGGGGAGCAGAGCAGGCAGAAGGACCAAAGTACACTGCTGAGGGGAGCAGCGGGCGGCAGGAGAGGTCTGCGCGCCATGTGGGACCCTCCTCCGGTGGCCGGGGAGCGGCCGGGGATCGAACTGGCGCCGCAGAGGCCGCGGGCAGCTTCGCAACCCAGCGCTCAACCGCTGCGCCACCGGGGAGGCCCCCATGTTGCTTGTTTTGAAGACAGCTGGTAAACTGAGCAGAAAAATGACCCCGAAACTGCCCAGCATCCACAGGAACACTCATCCACCCCATTACCCAGCTCCTAAACCTTGAGAAGAAAGGTCATTTCACGAGTATTGATGGTGCACTTGATGTGTGCCGGGAACATCTCTGGCCACTGAGGTAACAATGGTGAATAGGACAGATATGCTGCCTTCTGGGAGTGGCGGTTCCACCTGAATTCGTAATTTGCCCAGCCATTCCGAAAGTTGTAGACCTGGCAAGGTTTTCGCTACGAAACCCCGGAGAATGGGAAGGTCTCAGGGCAGTAAAAACAGACCTTTTGGTGCCTGGAGTTCGCAATTAAGGCCTTGCTCTACAGGTGGTCGCAGACAGCACTCTCTGGCTGGAAGTTAGGCACCTAAGGGTGACTTCCCGGGATTTGGGAGTCCTGTTGTGCATTAAACAGGGCCTGACGTAAGCAAGTGCACCACCGTTGTGGTTTGGGGGCACCGTCAAACAGCAAGGTCAGCGAAAAGGGGTGGGATCTACCCCTTGGCGGATCCCGGGAACCTGAGAGGTTGGCGCGCGCTCGCGCGTCCTTCCGGGCGAGGCCCCGCCTGCGGCGCTGTGGCCACGCCCCGCGCTCAGTCCCGCCCCCGCCCCACGTGCGCGCAGCCGCCTCGCGCAACTTGAGAAGCGGGGAGGCTCTGGGGTTACACCATGCCACTGGAGGCGATCCGCTACTCGCGGGGCTCGCTGCAGATCCTCGACCAGCTCCTGCTGCCCCAGCAGAGCCGCTACGAGGCGGTGGGCTCCGTGCGCCAGGCCTGGGAGGCCATCCGCGCCATGAAGGTGGGGCCGTGCGGCGGATAGGTGGGGCCTGCATGGGGGGGTCTAGCTCCTCCCGCCCCTGACACCCCCCACCGCTCCCCATCAGGTGCGCGGTGCCCCAGCCATCGCACTCGTGGGTTGCCTCAGCCTCGCCGTGGAGCTGCAGGCGGGCGCCGGGGGACCCGGACTTGCCGCACTCGTGGCCTTCGTGCGCGACGCGCTAAATTTCCTCGTCACTGCCCGACCCACGGCGGTCAACATGGCCCGCGCCGCCCGGGACTTGGCCGACGCCGCAGCCCTGGAGGCAGAGCAGGAGGGCGCCACGGTGGAGACGGTCCGGGAGAGGTAGGGGGACCCTGTGCCGGCACTGCCCTAAACGAAAGCTATTGACTCATCTTTTCTACACAGGGACCCCTTTTACAGAAGGAGAAACTGAGGCGCAGCACTTTTAAACCCTTGTCAAGGTCACACGGGAAGGCAGCCCACCCTCAGGTGCTTGCACCCAGTCACTTAACTGTGCCTCCCCTGAACTTGGTGCAGCCCTGTCTAACCTTTGGTGGCTGTTTAGAGTGCCTCCTCTTTCTTGTGGATTTTGCTTTTAAGAAATTTTGTTGACTGCCATGGCCCTGTCCTCTCTTTTTTCCCCACTCTCCGGCTCCACTCCTTAGCTTCCATGTTTCTTGCCCCCACCCCTCCATCTGGCTCCACCTTCAGGGCCTTTATATATGCACTTTCTGTAGTCAGGTATCCATAGAGCTAATGCTCTCCTGAATCAGGTTTTAGGTTCTGCCTTACCCATTTCTCACATAATAAAGTACATCCCATGCTCTATCCTGACTGCTACCTTTTTCTTCACTTAATTTGTTCATCATCTGCTTCTCCACTCGTGTCAGCTCCATAGGGGCAGAGATTTTTGTCTTGTTCACGGCTTTATCCCCCAACACCTGGCACACAGGAGGTAAATGCATGTCTTGCGCAAATGGAGTGACAGGTGGTAATGGCAGAGGGTCTTTGAGCAGGAGGGGTCCAGCAGAGCAGCCCTTGGCCAGGAGGAGTGGTCAGGCTGGGCTCTCATGCCTGGTGGCTGGTGCTGAAAGTCCCATGTTGGCCTCAGGGTAATCCGCTGTGCTGAGGACATGCTGGAGAAAGACCTCAGGGACAATCGGAGCATCGGGGACCTGGGAGCTCGCCACCTCCTGGACCGGGCAGCCCCTGGGGGCAGCAAGGTGACCGTACTGACTCACTGTAACACTGGTGCACTGGCCACTGCTGGCTATGGCACAGCACTGGGTGAGTGGGGATAGGGGAGGGCCCTTTACAGATGGAGAAAGAAAGTCAAACCACCACTTTATCCACCTGAAAAGATATGAACTTATTAGTTCTTATACAGAAACATTTAAGGGTTTGACTTCAAGTATGGTTGCATCCAAGTGTCAAATACATCAGAATGCATCTATCCCTGTCCCTCCCAACCTCCATGGTGGCATCATCCTCAGACGCCACAGGTTGGCAAGGGCACTGCCAGAATTAAGATCATAAGGAATAGGGCCTCCCTGGTGGCACAGGGGTTAAAGACAGCACTGTCAGGCTATCACCAACCACTGTAGCACAAGTTTGCTTCCCTGGCCAGCCAGGGAGCTGACCCACATGGCACAGCAGACCTCTCCTGACTCACCCACCGCTCCTCTCAGTAGTGTATTTTAGTAGATTGCCTGTTCTGCTCCCCATTCTGTCTCTGGTGAATCCTTTAACCCCTACTCCTCTGGCCTACATCCCAGCTCTTGTATGCATAAATAAATAAATCTTTAAAAAAAAAAAAAAGATAAGGAATGCCAGAGAACTCTCCTTATATTTTAGAGTCTTGAAGGGGGTCACCTGTCCATGCTGGATCAATCACTTGATAAGCCCAGCTTAGCTTTGTGGATTCGAGGACTGAGTGGAAGGGAGTGCCCCCCGCAAGAAAGATTGGGGTAGCTATGACCAAAAAGGGGGGGATTGAGACAGGATTTTCCTGTCTGCCTAGATCCCACCCTAGTGCCTGGGGACTGAGGAAGACATTCCTTCTCTTTCACTCAATATATTTTTAAGCATCTACTGTGTGCCCCATTGTGCATGCATGCATGTATTCTATTTATTCAACATTTATTAAGCATTTACTGTATGCCAGTCACAGTTCTAAGCACTAGGGATCCAGCAGTGAACAAAGTAGACAGAACATTAGCTCCTGGGAGAAAGAACAGGGAAGGAGCTAAAAGGGGAGGTTGCTACATGAAGTCAAGATGAGAGGAAGTGTTCTCTGTGAACACGTGTTCCAGACAAAGGGAACAGCCACTGCAAGGACTTAGGGATGGGACTGCCTGGTAAGCCTTTGGAGCCCCTAACCATTAAGCAGCCCTGCCCCTTTCCATCTCATCCTGGCTTTCTTCTGGTGGGCTGGGCCCGCAGGTGTGATCCGCTCTTTGCACAAGCTGGGCCGTCTGGAGCACGCCTTCTGCACAGAGACGCGGCCTTACAACCAGGGAGCCCGACTGACAGCCTTTGAGCTGGTCTATGAGCAGATTCCCGCCACCCTTATTGCCGACAGCATGGCGGCCGCTGCCATGGCCCATCGGGGTGTGTCAGGTCAGAGGGGGCTCGGGCAGGCATGGCTGCTGGTGGCCAGGGCCAGGTCATGACACTCAAAATGACATCTCAACATCTCTCTTCCCAGCTGTCATAGTGGGAGCCGATCGTGTGGTTGCCAATGGTGACACAGCCAACAAGGTGGGCACCTACCAGCTGGCCATCTTAGCCAAGCACCATGGCATCCCCTTCTATGTGGCTGCCCCCAGCTCCTCATGTGACCTCCACTTAGACTCAGGCCAAGAGATTGTCATTGAGGAGCGCCCAGGACAGGAGCTGACCGATGTCCACGGGGTCAGGATTGCAGCACCTGGTAAGTGGTCCATGCACAGGGTATCACAGTGCCTGGGCACCTCCATTTAGGCACCCATTATAAGGGGCATTTTGGGGGGCTGTCAACCTTCTTGGGTATAGGAAGCTCCTTCAAGCTGTTTCTTGGGAAAAAGCATCTTGGAGGTCAGATCCAAGGTCAGAGTACAGTACACGAACTAATAAGATGGGAAATCTTGAGTGACTTGTTTTGCTACTGGTTTTCTCACCCAAAGTGGAAATAATGCTGCACAGCCAATGCCTATAAAGAGGCACAGATAACTATCAGCTTCTCCACGCAGCCTGGCTGTGCAGTCCTGAGCAGGTGGCCCAAGTTCTCTGAACCCTCAGTACCCGAGTGTTCCTGTCTGTAGAATGAACTGTTGTTATGACCTACCTACCTCATAAACCTCAGAGCATTCAGCTTATTAACCCCCATTATATGCAGCGGAGTACCTGGCACTTAGTTAGTACTCATTAAATACTAATAATTATGATTGGAAACTTTATTTTTAAATATTTTATTTATTTTTGCGTAGAAGATCTTGGCTGTAGGCCAGAGGTGCAGGGAGGGTGAGAGGATTTACCAGAGGCAGAGTGGGGAGCAGAGTAGGCAGATTTACTGAAATACACTGCTGAGGGGAACAGTGGGGAAGACAGGAGAGGTCTGCTGCACCATGTGTGGGTCAGCTCCCTGGTCATGGATTGAACTCAGGCCATTGCGGCGATAGCACTAAAACTCAACCCCTAGGCCACCAGGGAGGCCCATGATTGAAAACTTTTTATGAAAAGGACTAGTAAGAACCGAAGTCTGGGGGCCTCCCTGGTAACACAGGGATTAAAGTCTCAGCACTATCACTAGCCACTGCAGACTGAGTTCAATTCCCAGCTAGGGAAGCTACCCACATGGCTCTGCAGACCTCTCCTGTCTCGCCTGCTGCTCCCCTCAGCAATGTATTTCAGTAGATCTGCCTGTTCTGCTCCCCACTCTGTCTCTGGTGAATCCTTTAACTCCTGCACCTCTGGCCTATATCCCAGTTCTTATATGCATAAATAAATAAAAGAAATCTTTAAAAAGACGAGAACAGAAGTCCTCTGGGGAATACCATCCCATATTCCAAATACAGAGTCAGAGTAAAGATAATACTACACAACAAAGCAAAAGGAAATCCTGATATTCTGTTGGTTTTAAGAGTGATTCCTTATAGTTTATAAAAAAATAGACATGTTAATTCTGAAATATTTCTTTTTTTCAGTGGGGGTGTAGGAAGTCCTGCTTTCCTAGAGGCATAATTAGTGCTGGTCAAAATCCAAAAGATCATAGAAAGCAGAGTTGACAACCCACCCCACCCCCACACCCTGTAAAAAAAAAAGTCTGGGGACAACAGAGTAACAAGGTTCAGAGACACAGGCCAGGTGTGGTCTGGCCCCTGGCACTCTGCTTCAGCCAAAGGTTCCAGGAAACCAGACCCCATCAGAAACAGTCTGTTTTCTATTTTCTCCAAGAGAAGCTTTACATTTTTGTACATGTGAATTCTCCCAAAATTTGACAACTGGCAGCCAATTAAGTGATCTTGAAAAACTGTGAGCCAGAGAAAACAGTGGCCACCAGTTTGATGCCTTTCATCTAGGAGATTGTTTGTAATGTACAGTCTCATTAAGCAAATAATTTTGAGCACCTGACTGATGCTAGGTACTCGGGATACAAGAGTGAAAAAAGACAAAAGTCCCTACCCTGCTGAAGCTGACAGTCCAGTGGGGAGACCACAAGGTAAATAAGGAAATTATAGGGTATGTTAGAAGGGGTAAGGGTCATGGAGAAATAAATAAGGCAAGGAAGTTCCATGCCTGCAAGGAATTTAGACAGGATGATTTAGAGGAGTCCTCCCAGAGAAGGAGACATCTGAGCAAAGTCCTGAAGGAAATGAAACAATGAATCATATGCATATATGGGGGCAAATATCCAGGCAGAGGGCATAAGCCCTGCAAAGACCCAAGGAGCATTCTTTTTCTTTTTTTTTTCTTTAAGATTTATTTATTTACGCATAAAGAGCTGGGGTACAGGCCAGAGATGCGGGGGGGTGGGGGTGGAATGAGAGGATTCACCAGAGACAGAGTGGGGATCAGAACAAGCAGATTGACTGAAGTACACTACTCAGGGGAGCAGCAGGTGAGTCAGGAGAAGTCTGCTACGCCATGTGGGTTGCTCCCTGGCTGGTCGGGATCGAACTTGTGCAGCCTCTGCTTCATAGTGCGGTGCTTACCACTTGCGCCACCAGGGAGGCCCTCAAGGAGAATTCTTAGAGGTTCTTTCTTTCTTTCTTTTTTTTTTTTTTAAGATTATTTATTTATTTATTTATTTATGCATACAAGAACTTGGGTGTAGGCCAGAGCTGCAGAGTGAGAGGTGGTGAGAGGATTCACCAGAGACAGGGTGGGGAGCAAAGCAGGTGGGTCTACTGAAATACACTGCTGAAGGGAGGAGTGAGTGAGACAGGAGAGGTCTGCTGGGCCATGTGGATCAGCCGGGGATTGATAGCATTGACACTTAACTCCTAGGCCACCAGGGAGGCCCCATTCTTAGAGGTTCTTGAAGAGACCATTGCAGCAGGCACATGTTCAAACTTTAGAGCTTGAACAACTACAATCCAGGAATGGGAGGAAGTCTAAACTCATTTATTGAACACAGAAACCCATGCCTTTGTGCAATTTTGGGGTGAGGAAAGATTCCCCACCCCCGGAACCACTATGGGAGAGACTGGTGGCAAGAACTTAAGAACTTTCACCAGAGTAGCAGACCTTTCCTGTCTCACCTGCTGCTTCTCCTAGCAGTCTATTTCGATAAAACGGCCTTTTCTGTTCATCTGCCTCTGGTGAACACTTTCACCCCTGCACCTCCAGCCTATACCTGATTATTCTCCACCACAGGTAACTCTAGGTGTTTCTTTGGGAAACTTACCCTTTCTTCTCTCTCTATGCACATTAATTCTATTAAAGTTCTTTATACTAAGAGTATGCTTGTCTGTATGCTCACAGATAGCCAGACCCCTTTAAAGCATGCAAGTGAGGGGATCCCATGGTCTCCCTCAGCTGTGCACTAAATAAAAAAAAAAAGAAAGAACTTTTACCACCCAAATATCTGTCTCTTTTCCCTGCAGGTATTGGGGTTTGGAACCCTGCCTTTGATGTCACCCCCCATGACCTCATCACCGGTGGCATCATCACGGAACTGGGTGTCTTTGCCCCTGAGGAGCTTCAGGCAGCCCTCAGCACCACCATCTCCTGAGAGACCTGAATGGATCCCAGAAATAACCAGCCATGCTCCTAGGTTTTATAATAAACTTACTGAGTTATCTGCCCAAAAGTTGAGCTGCTTCCTGGAGCAGATCAGACAGGAACTTTTCATGGCTCTTAAGAGCCCAGCAGCTAAAACCAGGCTACCCAAGGTCAAATCCTAGCCCCACGAGTTTTTCTACCCTGTACTCTTGACCTAGTTACTTCACCTTTTCAGGCATTGTTTCCTCACTTATCAAATGAACACTATACAGCCTCTTTGGTTGATGACTCTAGGGTGAAACCTAGGTGGAGGATTTTAAAGAGGACACAGAAGGCTCTATAATAAAGAAATAATAGTACCATACAGTATTTGTTAAAACTCAAAATTAATGCAAAAGAAAATCCACAATGAACGAACTATCAAGAGAGACTAGAATGGTCTCTAATGTGACCAGAAATGCTTCACCTCTGATATCCCAATGAAACTATTTACAATACCAGGTAGCTGGTCAACAGTAGTTTGATGATTTTCTTTTTTAATATTAACATGTTATTTTTTTAAAAAGGTTTATTTATACATACAAAAACTAGGATGGGGGGTGGAGAGGGGTGATTGGGAGAGTGTGAGAGGATTCACCAGAGACAGAGTGGGGAGCAGAACATGTGGATTGACTGAAATACACTGCTGAGGGGAGCAGTGGGCATGTCAGGAGAGGTCTGCTGTGCCATGTGGGGTCAGGTCCCAGGCCAGGGATTGAACTCTGAACTCATGCTGCAGTGGCTGCGGGTTGCTTCATAGTGCTGAGACTTAACCCCTTGTGCCACCAGGGAGGGCCTAATATTAACATGTTGGGTTTTATTTTTTAAGATTTATTTATTAATGCATACAAGAGCTGGGCACAGTCCAGAGGTGTGGGGGGTGAGAGGATTCACCAGAGACAGAGTGGGGAACAGAACAGGCAGACTGACTGAAATACACTGCTGTGGGGAGCATCAGGCGAGACAGGAGAGATCCGCTTTTCCATGTGGGTTGCTCTTTGGCGGGCCTGGGATCAAACTCATGCTGGAGAGGCTTCAAATTGTTTCATAGTGTGGTGCTTAACCCCATGCGCCACCAGGGAGGCCCTAACATGATATTTTTAAGTGTTGGAAATGCTGCTTACCTTCATTACTGAAGGCTTGGGGACTCCTTAAATTTGGGCAAGGGAGCCTCACTTGGTCCCTAGTCCTAGTCTGAATTTTTTGTCTAAAAAGGAGCATAACATAGTATGATTTTTGTTGTTGCTGTTACAAAACAAGCACCCGGTAAGTGTTAATCGGTATACCCTTGGAAATGTTTGCGAAAGGCCGTCCATCACTTTTGTGCGGAATGGTTCTTTAACTCTATGTCCCGTTGTATCCCGTGAGCCTTTGCGGCCCCCGCCCCCCCCTCCTATATCCCGTCTGGTCTGTGCGTTTTCCGGCTGCGACTACGCGACGCCGCGCCTCTCAGCCTGCGCGTCATCATGGCGCAGGGACAGCGCAAGTTTCAGGCGCGGAAACCTGCGAAGAGTAAGGCGGTCGCTACGGCTTCGGAGCGGAGCCGGGGCCCGAGGAAGGGCGGTGAGTAGTGGTCAGGAGGCTGGGAGTCGAAGTGGGCCCCGGGCTTCCCAGCCACATGCGAACGTGTCTCTTCCCAGGTCGTGTTATCGCCCCGAAGAAGGCTCGCGTTGTGCAGCAGCAGAAGCTCAAAAAGGTAAGTTGGGGGCGTGCGAGTGGCCAGGGATCGCGCCTGGAGGTCAGCGGTGGGTAGCGTAACGGCAGGGATAGAGCCTGGGGGCCTGGCTTGGAGCCTGGAGAACCCCCAGCTTTGTGAGCAACAGTTCCGCCCTTGTGTGGTGGGTGCAGGAACACCGCGCACCGTTCAACCTGCCGTCAGTAAGCAAGGCCTAGCTCTCTAAAATTGTCCAGCCAGGTTAGCTGCTTTCCTGTCCCCCTCCTCGATAGAACTCGGGAGGGGAGGTGGCATGGGAAAGTTGAAAACCCCAGTTTTGCTAGAAGGCAGTGCCAGGGACAAGTCTTACTTTTTTCAGTAACTGGTATTTCTTCATCCTGCACACCTTAATTCCTGCGTTCGAGGTGGTAGAGCCTTTCTCCTAGTTTTGCAAGGATTAAGTGTCTCAGGGCACATGTAGAGTGCTGAGAACTGCACGGGACCCAGATCTCAGGCCAACCCACGCGAATGCTGTTAGGTACACACAGTTACCAAGGAGGGCTTAGAAGGGAGTGAAGGCTGGTGGTGGCTGCCCAGTCCGTTTCCCAGGAGCCCTGGGGGTCGGGTGGGTCTCAGGACTGGACCAGAGTGGAGTGAGGGCCACTCTGAATCTTGATTGCTGGGCCCTTAGCTGTGTTGGGTTGGTGCATCCTATAAATAAGGTACAAAGATATGAAACTAGTTTTGGTGGAGTCAGATCTGAGTTCAAGCTGTACTCTGTATACTAACTTGCTCTGTGATCTTGATCAAATTGGCTAGTGTACCCTGAGCCTTGCTTTTCCCAGACCTGGGTACTCAGTGACCTGCCGACCTACATGGCAGGGGAGAGGGAGAGTTGAACGTATATCCCAAACCCAGCATGTCCAAAACCAACCCTCAGTCCCTTGGACTGTTGAGGAAGACTGTCCTTCCAGGTATTTGAGTTTATCCTTAATTCCTCCCTTTCTTTCGCATCTTGATGGAATCCCATCCTTTTTACCTTTAGGATTGATCTTGTATCCTCCTATTTCCATCTTCTAGATCCCCCACCACCACCAGGTCCCATGTTATCATCTCTTGCCTGGACCACCACCCTGGTTTCCAACCTCCTCCTCTCAATAGCCATTTGGCACCTGTGAACACCTAAGTCAAGTCCTGTCTTCCCTCTATGCATAATCTAACCCTTTTTGGCTCCCACCTTTTTCAGGAAAAGGCCAAGCCCTCACCAGCCCACAAGGCCCTGCACACTCTGTCCCCAACACCTCCCTGCCCTCACCTCCTTCCTTCTCCCTATTGCTCACTGACACTTACTCACTCCTTGTCCCACCTCAGAAATTTACACTGGCTATTTTCTCTGCCAGAATCTTTACAGAACTTCACATGGCTCTCTCCCTCCAAGTCAAATCTGATGGCAAAGGTTGCTTCTAAGTAGCCCCAACCCTTCATTCCTTATGCCTTGGTTTCTTTTCTCCATAGCAGCACTTAGTCTTCACCATCATTTGACGGTTATAACATAACACCTTACTGATATTTATGTTATCCCACACGCTGAATGTCAGCTCTGTGAGTCATGTCTTTTGTGGTCTTGTGTCCCCTGGCCTAGGCACATGGTGACATCATGATAGCTATGGTCACTAGACTTAGGGCAATAGAGAGGTTTGGGAGATATGATTAAGCCACCAGTTTGGAACCCAAACACACTTGGTTCTGAGCCTGCCTTCACTTGCTCACATTACCACTTGCTAAATGGAGACAGCCTAGACCAGGAGGGGCTGCAAGCTCCCTTCACTGACATGGTAGGGAACCCCAGGCAGTTTTTCTTCCCTGTCTCTTCAGTGTCCCTAAAGGGGTGAGCAAAAGTATAGAAACTGAGGTCCAGAGATGAGAAGAGGGGTTTTTGCATAATGCCCAAAAAAAGTAAAGGGCAAAAGCAGTACTTAAGCCCCAGCTGCCAGACTCTGGTAAGGTGATGTCTGGGGGAGTTGCTAATCCACCACTGTGAGCTTGGGGCAGAAGTGGGCAACAGATCAGCCCACCCCCCCTTCACCCCACTCCCAGGCTGATTGCCTTCTGTGTGCCCCTTCAGAACCTTGAGGTCGGGATCCGGAAGAAGATTGAGCACGACATGGTGATGAAAGCCAGCACCAGCCTTCCCAAGAAGCTGGCGCTGCTGAAGGCACCCGCCAAGAAGGGAGGGGCCGCTGCCTCCAAGGCCCCTTCCTAAGGATACTGGCTTCCATGACAGCGACCACTGGCACAACCCCTACCTTCGGCTCACACCTGTGCAGGGTCCCCTCAAGTAGCATCGTGAGGAGGAGGTGCCCTGTCCAAAGCCCCTGACTGTACCTGGAACTTAAGTGGGGGTTCAGACCATCAGCCAATGATAACACATCCCTGGGGTACAGGTCAGTCTCCCAGGCTACTGAAACTTAGCAAAGGCCAGAAGGATATTATCACCAACTCCTGTACCCCCACCTTTCCCCAGGACTCAATAAATCTAGCTTTGTCCTTCCTCCGGCAGTCACCATGCTCCTACAAGCAGGCCAGGGTGTTAACGCATCCTGGTCAGCACCATCAGATTCCAGGGGACAGCCAGGGAAGGAGGGCTGCGCTTCTGTGCCTTCAGCCTGGAAGCTGGCGGAGTCTCTTTCTCCAACCTGCTCCATTACCTGCATACTCTCCAGACACATCCACGTCATCACCTTTGCTGGGGAGGGGACAAGCCAGCCAGCAGCTGCTCATCTGTAGGGTCGTTGCTAACACCACCTCATGGGGTCACAGTGCCACTTCAGGGTATAAAAAGCCTTGATAACTAGTATTTCGGTAGCACATCTGTGACCCAGGAACTGTTCCTGAGAACTTCCCACCCATCACCTTGACCTTGGGATGCCCAAGTTGGGTCATCTGGAACCAGGACTTGAAACTGCTATTGATAGGGTCCTGGCTTCCACTCTCAGTTCACCAATGCCACCTCTCAACGAAGATTCTCTCCTGGTCTCACCCAGCCCCCCAAATCTTAGGACAGTGCCTGTGGAACCAGCTGGGAGCCCTGACCTATTGGTCAGCCTTCCCTCCCTCTTGGGAGACAAGGCTGGTCACAGCACAGGGACCAGGGGGCTGCAGTCCTGCTGAGGCTGAGCAGTGGTGTTGAGCAAAGGTGGCAGGATCTGTGTGCAATGGGCTGCACCCCCTGAGGTGGATGACTGGTCCCTGGGCAGCCCCCCTTCCTGGCCAGATTCAGCCCCTCAGGTATACTTTCTTGGTCCCCACATATGGGCATTCACAATGCTGGAACTACCAACTTTTTTTTTTTTTTTTTTTCAAACAGCTCACATATTTATTACAGAGCCAGGTACAGAGGTGTACCAAGAGAACACAAGTCCACAAAGCAGTGATGTTTTTACTGACATGGTAGATGCTATTGATCTCAATACAGCATAAATATGCGCGCCATCTCCGTGCGATTCCTTACAGACCCAGCTTGGTTCTTCTCCAGTGTCTCCTCTTGGAATTGTACCTGATTTTATTACCAGTTTTCATCCGAATCCACTGGGGAATGGGACGGTTCTGTTTTTGTTTCTTGGCTAGGAATCGCTTGATCCTGAAAGTCTTGTGAGAAGACATGGCGGGGAAGAGGTAAGCGCACACAGCGCGATGGCGGCGGGAAGGAGCGAGAGACTACCAACTTTTTTTAAATAAAGATTGATTTATGCATACAAGAACTGAGGTACAGGCCAGAGGTGCAGGGGGAAGAAAGGATACACCAGAGAGAGTGGGGAGCAGAACAGGCAGATCGACTGAAATACACTGCTGAGGGGAGCAGCAGGTGAGACAGGAGAGGTCTGCACCATGTGGGTAGCTCCCTGGCCAACACAGGGATTGGACTTGTATTGCAGAAGCTGTGGATAGCTTCACAGCACTGTGCTTAACCCCTTGCACCACCAGGGAGGCCCAGGAACTACCAACCTGTTTAAAAAAAAAAAAAAGCAAGGGACAACTTCCATGGGAAACAAATCTGGCAGCTCTTTGAGTTCAATGTGGAGTGGCCGTAGCACCTTCCATACCATACTGAGACAGTCCCCGCGAGACCTGAAGAGACTGCAGCAGCAGGCACACGTGTCCATTTGTGGCAGAGTGGGTAAACAAGATGTGGTCTGTTCTTAACCTGGGATTATTATTTAATCATAAAAAGGAATGAGTCACTGGTATGTGCCACAGCACAGGAACTTAGAAAACATGCTGAAGGAAACCAGACACTGGAGGCCACATCCTGCGTTGTCGCATGGAGATGAAAGCGACACAACACATCAGAGACGGGAGCAGGTTGCAGGGGAGAGGCAGGGAAACGCAGCTAATGGACACAGGGTCATCTCTCGGAGCTGATGAAAATGTTTTGGTTGCAAAACACTGAATATGCTAAATGCCACAGCAATGTACACTTAAATGGCTTTTTTTTAACATTTATGTATTTATTTGATGTAGGCCATAGGTGTGGGGGGGTGAGAGACTTCACCAGAGTGGGGAGCAAAACATCTACTGAAATCCACTGCTGAGGGGAGCACCGGGCGAGACAGGAGAGGTCTGTTGTGCCATGTGGGCTAACTCCCTGGCCAGGGATCAAACTCATGCCACAGTGGCTAACAATAGCTTGATAGTCCTGAAACTTTAACCGCTGTGCCATCAGGGTGGCTCCTAATTTTTTTTTTAATATTATTTATACAAGCACTGGGTACAGTCAGAAGCGCGGGAGGGTGAGAGAATTCACCAGAGCCAGAGCGAGGAACAGAACAGGCAGACTTACTGAAATACACTGCTGAGGGAAGCAGCGGGCGGCAGGAGAGGTCTGCGCGCCATGTGGGACCCTCCTCCGGTGGCCGGGGAGCAGCCGGGGATCGAACCGGCGCCGCAGAGGCCGCGGGCAGCTTCGCAACCCAGCGCTCAACCGCTGCGCCATCGGGGAGGCCCTAAAGATTTATTTATTTATACAAGAACTGGGGTACAGGTCAGGGGCACAGGAGAGTGAGCGAGTTCACCAGAAAGAGTGGGGAACAGATCAGGCAGATAGACTGAAGACACTGCTGAGGGGAGCAGCAGGCGAGGCAGGAGAGGTCCGCCACGCCATGTGGGTTTCTCCCCGGCCAGCCAGGAATCAAACCCACACTGCAGAGGCTGCGGACAGATTCACAGCGCAGCACTTAACCCGCTGTACCACTCTGGAGGCCCGCCCTTAAATTTTTTTTAATGAGAGTTTTAGCCATTTAAAAGAAAAAAGAACTTTACACCAAAAAAATGATAACATCTCAAAAAATGGAATTGTGGCAGCAGGGTCTGCATTTGAAGGAAGACTTTGCAGTTTGGCGTTTTCCTGGTCCAGCAGCTGGGTTCTGGGTTGGAGGAGAGCTAGAGCAGGTGCCTGAAGGATGAGATGCAGACCCAGGAGCTGAGTGGGACTGCAAGACCCTTAGATCTTTGGTGTACCCTGCCTTGAGCGCCACCTAGGGGACCTGAGTCCTCCTGCCACCTGTACCTCAGCAGCTTTTCCAAGAAGGCAGTGATTTCCACTCTTGAACATAGCCATTTTGCACATTGATCGTTTGGTTGGCAGGACAGGCCGACCTCTGGACTGGGAAGAGCTGAGAACTGACATTCTAGTGGAAAGCAGAAAACCCCAAGCTTACCCCTTGTTGCCCCCTCCTCTTCCCTGTCCTGCCTCCTGACTTTTGCTGCTGTAGTTCCCTGCCCCACACAGATGTCCTTTCAGGAAGCCTGCTTTGTCCCCTGCTCCCAGAAATGGCCACCCTGTGCCACACTATTTTTTTTTCTGTTCTGCTTTGCTTTATTCACTGCCCTGTGTCCAGCACCTAGAACGCACAGCTGATGCTCCAGAAACAGGTGTCGAAGGAAGGAGTTGTATCTCCTAACTACAAGGAAAGTTTTGCACCTTATGAGTTCAGTTATGATCATTCAATGCATGACTGCTACAGCACACCCTTCAGGTTATCTGATTCTGCATTGTAGTGATGTCTCTGAACTTTTTACTAGGAAAACTGCAAGCAACTGATAGTAATGCAAATTCCTCTTACCTGTAGACATACAAATTCTATCCATCCAGCAGAGGTCCCACTGCCAACCAGTCCTCCCCTGTGGAAAAACCAATTTACCTCCTTTTGCACATTTACTCCAAGTCTGATCAGTAAAAATGCCTGGTTTTCAACCTTGTTCTCACAAGTTCAATAAAAGTTTTAACCCATGTTCATCTTTACATGTCTGTGGGAGTTGTAAGTCACCCTGTTTTTGAAAAGTGTCTTATAACTTTCCTACCTGGAATCAGAAGCGGAAGGCTGGGACAAGGTGAGCTGTGGGTACCATTAGGCACCTCCCCCAGCCACCAGGAGGCGCCTCAAACCCAGCCAAGTCACCCAATGGCTGAGGCTCCTGTAAACTGGCTTCCTTTGTCCCTCTGACACCGTCTCCTGAGGTAGAGCCCAGGGGCTAGTAAAGGCTTTCTGGCACAACGTTTGGGGGTAGTTTGGAATGTCAGCCCACCAGTTTTCCCCTCTGATTCCCAAGCAGCTTCACAACACCCCTCAGTGCACACATTCCCACAAGTCTTTCATGGGTGCTGGAAAGAGCCACAGACTGAACTTCCATGCCAGTTTCTTCCTCCTCCCAGTTGTGTGACATTCACCGAGTCCCTTCACCTCTTGCAGGCTCTTTTCCCACATCTGTTAAATGAGGATCCTAATAGCTCTCAGAGTGAATTCTGGAGCTTAAAGGCTGTGGGACTCAAATATGATTGAGTTGCCCTTGTATCCTGGGGGTAGGGGGTGACCGAAGCCTTGCCATACAGCTTCTTCTCTGCCTGTCCTCCCACCCCTCTCCACCAGGGCCAGGGCAGTCTCTGAATGTGATTTTTCAGACACAATTATCCCTGTTCAAGCCTTTTCCTCTCTGACTTCCACCTTCCCCCTCTGACTGGAATGTTCATTTTTCCTGGCAGGGCCCTGACACTTTGCCCATTAATTTGTATTCCAAAAGGGAAGGAAAGAAATGTAAGAAGTAAATCCTGCCAGCTGGGCAGGCTGGAGGGGCTGTGTTGGGACCAGGAAGCAAAACTGCCCCAGCTGGTTTCCTGCATGAGTCAAAGAGGCACAGGGTGCTGTGGGGGGCCAGTGGGACCCTCAGAAAGTTGGGATAGGATGGACAGAGATCTGGAAAGCTGTATGTCCCCCATCTGATCCTCCAGCGGCCCCCTTTTACCCACAGGGTTTGAGAACATGTGGGTTTGGGGTCAGGAGCTGTGGATGCCTAGACAGTGAGCTCACCACAGGCGGATAAATGTGGCTTGCATTTCCCTGAAGTGGAGCTCACTGGCTACACTAAGGAGGGAGGACACAAGGGTGACTAGAACCCTCCTCCCAGCCTCTCCTTTCCTGAAAGTGTTGGTAGGAAGGGGGAAGGCTTGAAATTGACCTAGGAATTCTTTCAGGGGACACCCCTATCCTTCTAGAGGCCTTGAGGATGGCTGTGTCTCTTTCTCACCTGCAAAGTGGGAGCATCACAATAGAATGTTGGTGTTTCCCAAACTGCATTTGATCCCCAGCCACAGTGACAGGTCCACTCCTCTGGGGTTTGAACGCTGCCCCTACCACTTTCCGGCTGTGGATCCTGGGCAAGCCACTTGGCCTTTCTGTGCCCAGGTTTTCTCATCAGTGAGATGGGGTAGTAACAATATTCCTATCTATTGTTAGAGAAAGAATAAAATGAAACATCCTCACCCTGTGATGACCCTTTCTCTATTCCTCCTAAAGTCAACACACTGACCAGGAGTGACCTTGAATCAACATCTCAATGTCTTGGGATGCCCACTGCTCTCAGGGACAGGGACATGGCTTAGTTGACACAGCTACACGCCAGATGCTGAAGGGAGCTGCTGGGAAAAGCTTGACCCTGGGTTTCCGTTTGCCAGGGGATCTCCTGAAACAGGGTTAGCTGAAGCTCTCCCTACCTCTTCCCCTAACCCATTATTTATATTCCTTCCATCTACCTTTGCCTCAATTTTTTTTGCAAGAAAGGGAAGTTTTAATGAGTCTCTAACCGCAGAGCAGCTCCACCTGACTTCCTCAGGCAAGGATTCCCCTTCCAGGCCTCAGTCTTTTTGACTTAGAAATGGAAATGTGGGCCTCCTGGTGGCACAGGGGTTAAGTCTTAGCACTAAGAAGCTATCCACAGCTATTCTATCACCCCACACCCACCCCCACACCTCTGGCCTACACCCTAGCTCTTGTATGCATAAATAAATAAAAAAATAAATCTTTTTTTAAAAGTTTTATTTATGCATACAAGAACTGGGTAAAGGCCAGAAGGTGTGGAGGGGTGAGAGGATTCACCAGAGACAGAGCAGGGAGGAGAACAGGCAGACTGACCTAAACACACTGCTGAGGGGAGCAGAAGGCGAGGAGAGGTCAGCTGGGCCATATGGGTAGCTCTCTGGCCAATCAGGGATTGAACTCGTGCTGCAGAGGCTGTGGACAGCTTCACAGCACTGTGCTTAACCCCTTGTACCACCAGATATGGAAATGAAACACACATTTTTCAGCTTAAGCTCAACTTGATCATATACCATATATCTGAACACCTGTAGCATTCTATAAGCCGTCATTATTATTCTTTGTCGTTGTCATTGTGTAGCTGTGGTTTCTCAGGACCACCACACTGCCCATCAGAAATTACAAATGGGGGGCCTCCCCAGTGGCGCAGCGGTTGAGCGCTGGGTTGCAAAGCTGCCCGCAGTCTCTGCAGCACCGGTTCGATCCCCGGCTGCTCCCTGGCCACCAGAGGAGGGTCCCACATGGCGCGCAGACCTCTCCTGCCGCCCGCTGCTCCCCTCAGCAGTGTACTTCGGTCCTTCTGCCTGCTCTGCTCCCCGCTCTGGCTCTGGTGAATTTTCTCATCCTCCTGCACTTCTGACTGTACCCAGTGCTTGTATAAATAAATAAAAATAAATAAATCTTTAAAAAAAAAAAGAAATTACAAATGGGAGCTCCATTTGTAATTTTAAATGTCCTGATAACACATAATAAAAATATAGGTGGGAATTAATTTTAACAATATATTTATTTAACCCAAATTTCTCTGAATTATCACATCAATAAAAAAATTCTGAATGAGGGCCCTCCCTGGTGGCTCAAGGGGTTAAGGCACAGCACTATGAAACTATCATCAGCCACTGCAGCACAAGTTCTATCCTTGGCCAGGGAGCTACCCACATGGCACCACACCCCACCTCTTGTATGCAAAAATAAATAAAATAAATCTTTTTTAAAAAGAAAGTAACTGATATTTTATTTAATTTTTTTAAAAAGATTTATGGGGTACAGGCCAGAGATGCGGGGGGAGAGAGGATCCACCAGAGACAGAATGGGAAACAGAACAGGCAGATTGACTGACACACACTGCTGAGGGGAGCAGCAGGCAAGACAGGAGAGGTCAGTCTCTCCATGTGGGTTTCTCCCTGGCCGGCTGTGGATGGAACTTGTGCTGCAGAGGCTGCGGATTGCTTAAGTGCGGTGCTTAACCCCTTGCGCCACCAGGGAGGCGCAGAAACTGATACTTTAGCAGCTCCCCTGCCCACTTATGACTACACAGGTGCCTCTTTCTCTCCTTTTCCTAATAAACCTGTCCTTTTAAAATGTTAAAAAAAAAAATCTGCCATTTTAATAGGTCAAAAATGGATGAAGATCAGCAATTTTATATTATTCACGTAATATGCAGGACAGAGAATAGAACGGGGGTGCACCTCCCATGAGAGCTACGAACGGCTTGCGATTCCCCCACCCCGCAAAGCATCTAAAGTTGACTCCGCACTCGCCCAGAGAGACTGAGACAGTTTATCTGGTCACACAGCCAAAGGGTGGAGGGGCGGAGCCCCAGGAACCCGCCCCTCGGTCTCGCTCCCCGGCTGAGCAGAGTTGATTGTCCCCTTGCGGCGCCCGGAAGCGACCCTCAGTAAACAAAGCCGTGTGTGGGCGCAGCCCCAGCTGCCCCGGGCGCGCAGTCCAGCCCGAGGGGGCGGGGGAGGAATGTTGTGAATGAATCCAGGGCCCGCCCCGAAACTCCGCAGAAGGCCTGCGTCGCGGGGGTCCTCCAGCTATGATTGGTCCCTGGTGTCCCGTGATTGACAGCGCCTCACGCTGAGCGCTATGATTGGGCTAGCTCGAAAAAACAGGCAGCATATCCAACGAATGATAAACGAGAGCTTGGACAAGGGTCTGGCAGTACAGCCAATGGCGAAGGAGGACCTCTGAGGCCGAGGGGGGGGCCAATGGGGAAGGGCGGCGGGGGCGGGACGACGGCAGAGGATAAAGAGGCGGCCCAGGCAGCTTCATTGTTGTGAAGAGTCTTAAAGGGGCCGCATCACCCGGCCGGCCCGGCGCAGGGCGGGGGTGGGTGCGGCGGGGGTCCGGTAGCTGCGGAGCGCGGAGAAAGGATAGGAAAGCGGACTGGGGGTGTGAGAGCCGGTGAAACGGATCGGGCATCGGATCAACCCCTTCAACAGGGCCCGCCCCGGCCCCGGCCCCGGCCCAGCCGGATGGACCCCCCGCGGCCAAGCGGAGCCGGGGCTGCCCCGCGGGACCGGAGGAGCGCGATGCCGGGGCCGGGGCCATGCGTGGCCGGGGCCGGCCCGAGGCGCTGCTGGACCTCAGCGCCAAGCGAGTAGCAGAGAGCTGGGCCTTCGAACAGGTGACCGAGGGGGGAGGAAGGGAGGTGACGCACCCCCTGACCTACCCGGACACCCCTTTTCTTCCTCCTCCCCAGCCCCCATTCTCCGGACCTGCCCACTTCGGAGACAGCTCCTGAGATCGCCAAGATCCCTAACCCTGCCCCGAGACCCCCCCCCACCCCCCCCCCCCCCGCCACTTAACTCCTAACCCTGTGGCCCATCCCCAACCCTTCTTCACCATACCCCGCCCCCAGCCCAAGATTGAGCGATGCTCTCAGTTCCCTGATCCCAAATCCAAACGCTTCTCCCTCCCCAGGGTCCTCTCCCAACCCTGGGTACCCTTCTTTTCCCACTTTATCCTCATATCCCAATTGGGGCATCCCATTCAATCCTCCTCTATCCAACTTCTAGAAGTTGCCCTTGCTTGGAACACCCCTGATCTCAGTCCCTAGAGACTCCCACTCCCCCTTTCTTGACCTCCATATGTCTGTTTTTCACACCAGTAGAGGACACCCCCATTTCTGTAAATCCCAGCTACAAGACATTAAGTTTTGTCATCCCTCCCTCCCTGCCCTCCAGCCTCTGGAACCCACCTGTGCCTCGGAAACCTTCCTCTTCTAGATCCTTCTCTCAGGCTCAGCCCCTTACATACACACACCATCCCACACAGAGTGCACCTAGGACCACCTCTTTACCTGGAGTTCCAAGCCCCTCCTGACTGGCTATGAGGATTACTCAACTGTCAAGACCTTCCTCCCCCCACATCCCAAAGAGCACTCTACTTCCCCCTAACCCCGCCAGCCTTCCCAGTCTGTCCACAGGTCGGCAGCAGGAGCAGGACCTAGGTCCCCATACTTGGACAAATGTACCTGGAACCCTGCCTCAATGGCTTCTGGGGATTCTCCCAGAATACCCCAAAACTTGGGCCCTGGAAGTCCCCTCTCCCAGCTCTCTTGTGAGCCCCTGAGGAACTGGGAATGTTGTCTGGACCTGTCCAAGCCTTCTGATGGCCCCATGGGCTCTGCCCTCCTCTGGCCTTGGCAGGAGGGGAGGGTGTTCTTTGCACCCTTTCTGGAGTGTGGGTATTAGCCAAGTATGGATGGGGCAGGCTCTGATTCATGGCCTGGAAAATCCCTCCTTAGTCATCTGCCAACTGTCCCCAAGGCCTGAGCCAGTCACTGGCCCTCCCACTTCCCCCTGAAACCCAGGCCCCTTCATTGTGTATGAGACACCCAGAATAATCCTAAAACTATCTCCAGGGCCTCCTTGTACCTGCCCCGTCTGTGCTGGGTACTAGGAAAGTTCATGCCTGGTAGAAACTGTGAAATCTTCTGCAACTCTTAGGAAGTTGTTGATCTCGTTCCCACTTTGAGGAAATTGGGGCACAGAGAGGTTGAGAAACTTGCCCAGGGTCACCCAGCCAGTGAGTAGCAAACCCAGATTGGAACACAGGCTCAACCAGCTCAGGTCATTGCCCAGAGCCCACAGGGAGACCAGGACAGCCCTCCCTTCCCTGGAGCCCTTCTGGGGAAAGGGACTTGGAAAGGGAGGGAACAGAGCCTGCCTTGGGTGTGGGAGCTTTCCAGCTATGGGACCCTAAACAAGTAGATTCACCCTGCCTCTGAGCCTCAGATTCCACTGGCTGTAAAATGGGGTCATGATTAGTGTCATTGGACTGTTACTGTAAGAATTAAGGGAAATTGCACATTTAAAGCATTTCGCTTAGTGTGGACTAAGAAAATGTATTCCTGATGATTATTACCACTTTAGTCTTCTTTTCTCCTGCCTCCTCAAAGCCTGAGAGGTCCCTGGGATCTGACGTCCAGGAAGGAGAATGCAGAAAATTCTAGAATACTATTGCCAGGTGTTATTATAAGCACTTTGTTTATAAAAATGCATATTTAATCTTCACCTACCAAGGAGGCAGACACTGTTAACATTTCTGTCTCACTGTTGAGAAAACTGAGGTGAAGTGACTTGCCCAAGGTCTTACTGCTCATAAGTGAAAAGCCAGGATTCTAATCCAGATTTCTAACCCAGCAACTCTTCCTCTAGGTTGAGGAGCGGTTCTCCCGGGTTCCAGAACCAGTTCAGAAGCGCATTGTGTTTTGGTCGTTTCCACGTAGTGAACGGGAGATATGTATGTACTCGTCTCTGGGCTACCAGCCCCCAGAGGGTGAGCATGATGCCCGGGTGCCCTTCACCCGCGGCCTGCACCTACTGCAGAGCGGAGCTGTGGACCGAGTGCTACAAGTGGGTGAGTGCTTGCCTCCCACCCCTACCAAAGAGGCCAGGAGGTCTAGAACCTGCTTGGAGAAGGGGAATTAGAGGGAGGCCTGAGCCAGGGGAGGGGAGCTTCCAGACCTCAGGCTTCAATACTCAGGGAGGGTTGTATAAGATATTATCAGTTCAAGATCAGGGATCTGCCTAGACCTCAGGCAGTGGACTCAAGTGGCGTGGGGGGGTGGGGGGGGGACAAAGAGAAGATGGTGAACCAGAAAGTAGGGGAAGATAGAGCCTAGAGTTTAGGCAGAAGACAGGTGAGGTTATTCCTCACCTCCGGGGTTTGGGGCCTAGAGGTTGAGAAAGGGCAATGAAGGTCCTGGACCTCAGACTCCAGGCCCAAACAGAGTTGGGTGCAGGGTTATACACTAAAGGAGAAAGGTTGTAGAAACCTAGCACAGCTTAGTTGGAGGGGTGGGGGATTGATGGTGAGACAGGGCAGAGGGCAGGTCCACGGTAGCAGCATCAAGGAACAATCGTAAGCCAGAGTGAAGGGAGGGATGTTCCAGACCTCAGGCAGAGAGGCCCAATGATGCTTTGGCCCTGTGGTTTAGAGCAGAAGTAAGAATGATCCTAGACCTCAAGCCGTGGGGGCCAGGTGGGCTTAGATCTCTGACAGGGAGACTCAGGGGGAGTTTAATATCAGACTTACAGAGCCAGCCAGATTAATATCAGACTTATAGAGCTGAGGGATGGTTTTAGAGCTAAGACAGTGTGGCTCAGGTGTGAGTCTAGGGTGTAAGTTTAGGATCAGCTTGAGGGGTGATCTTAGATCTCAGGCAGTGGGATTCAGGTGAGAATAGGAGATAGAGGTTTAGAGCTCCCTCAGACAGTGGGAGTCCAAGGGCAGCTGGGGAAGGTTATGAACCAAAAAGAAAGGAAGGAGCTGCAGAGACCAGGTTGGGGGCAGTGGTGAGGGAGAGGGGAGGAAAGGTTATCAACCTCAGGCAACGGGGCTCAGAGGGGACCAGTGGAGGCTAAGCCAGAAAGGTGAGACTCAGAGCATCATATTTCCCCTCGGGCGTAGGTCATGTCTCCCAGCTGGAGGCTTGGCCGAGATGATCCTTCCTGAACCCTGTCAGCCTGGAGGCCTCCTTGCCTGGACATGGCCCAGCCGGCCACCTCTAGCCGGTATGAGGAAGCCGCCATCTCCCTGCATGACGCAGCCGGGCCCGCTGGGGCCTGAGCTGCCCAACCAGTCGGATGAGACTGGCATCTGGGCTCCCCAGGGGCCAGGGAGGGGCAGGGGGCGACAGGGTGACCCGGCTCCTAGCATGTCACATCAGCCCCTCACTCCGAGTGTCATGGCACTTGGGCTTCCCAGGAATTGACAGGGCGCCTGGAGTTAGTGCTGTATCCGTGGTAAGCCAAGGGCCAGGAAAACCATCTTGGACCTCATGGCTGTGATAATAATATTTATAATTGTGTTTATTTAGGATTTATTGCATACCAACAGCATTCTAAGCATTTGCCAAATACTAACTCATTCCATCTTCATTAGAAACATGTAAGGAGGATGTTACTGTTCATTCCTATTTGACAGGTGAAGAAACTGAGGCACAGGGAAGTTAACTAACTTGTACTAGGTTACTCAGCTGGGTTTGCACCAGGTTTCATTATGTACCATGGTGCCTATCTCTGGGGTGACAAAGCTCCAGCAGTTTGCCTTTGATCTTAGGGTTCCACTTGAGTGGAAGCATCCGGGAGCCAGGGGGCCCTGGAGAGCCTGAGCGCCTCTACCACGTCTCCATCAGCTTCGACCGCTGCAAGATCACATCTGTGAGCTGTGGCTGTGACAACCGAGACCTTTTCTACTGTGCCCATGTGGTGGCCCTGTCACTGTACCGCATCCGGCACGCCTGCCAGGTGGAGCTGCGGCTGCCCATCTCTGAGACGCTCTCCCAGATGAACCGGGACCAGCTGCAGAAGTTTGTGCAATACCTCATCAGCGCCCACCACACGGAGGTGCTGCCCACTGCCCAGCGCTTGGCCGATGAGATCCTCTTGCTGGGCTCTGAGATCAACCTGGTGCATGGTAGGGCACCTGGGTGGCCTGCCCCAGGGAAGTGTGACAGTACAGGCTTCGTGTGCTTTCTGGCTCACCCTCCACTGGTTCCCCAGTTCAGAGCCTCCCCACTTGCCATGCAGCAGGCATTTGTCATGTCTTGGAGCCCCTTAATCCATGAGTGGGATGAGGAGATAACTATTCTCTGATGCCCAGGTCACATACCTAAATAGCATCAGATCCTGGATTTAATCTGACCTTGGGAGGTAAATGGTTGGAAATCAGGCAACTTAGGCCTGAGTTTAGGGAACAGGTGGGAGATGGAGTCTAGGGTCGGGGTGTCCCAAGGTCACAGGAGCAGGCCTGGGTGTGGGTGGGTGGATGGCAGGAGGGTATGTGTAGATATTAGTGGGAGCAGAGGTGGGAGATAGACCAGGTGTTAGGAGATTTGGGAGGGTTTGGGGCTACAAAGGGGATGTGTTGCCCAACTGTAATGGTGAGACGATGGAGTAGGATGGAGGGTGGATACGTGGGTGAGTAGTGGGTGGAGGCATGATGGATAATTGAGGGTGGGATGGATAGATATAGAAGACATTCATGGTGGGAGGTTGAGGTAAGCTGACAGTATTGAAAAATGCATGGAGTGAGTGGATGGGATGATTAAGTAGGCTGACAGGTGAATAGGGAGTTAGTAATTGGCTGCAGGGTTGGGTGAATGGGCTTTGATTGAGGGGTTGAAGTGAACTAATCGTGACAGACAGATGGAGGTGGTAGAAGATTGGAAGGACCATGGGTACATGTATTGAGGGTGAGTTGATGGGTACATGGAAGGTCTGTATGTGTGGACTCGGTGTATGAATTGAGTGGGTGGGTGTTTTGTGAGAGATGCATAGATGGACTAATGAGGTGGTGGGTGTTATGGGAGGCACATATGAATGGATGATTTGATGGGGAAGAGCAGACAGAAAGTTAGGGTTAGGTGGATAGATGGAGAGCACAGTTGTGTGAGTCAGTGGATGAATAGATCAATTGGTATTTTGAGTGGTTGGTACTGATGACTTGGAAAGACAAATGGGAATGGCAGGTGGATGAATGGGTAGAACATGGGAATTGGTATATAGGTAGGTAAACAGGTGGCATTTGGCTAGGGTAGATGATGTACTGGTGATCCGATAGGTAGGTTATGGATGTGTGGACGGATCGGTGCATGACATGGCATGGGAGTGGGGTAGATGGATAGAGAGATGAATGGTTTGGATAGATGGGTAGGTGTTTTGGGTGGCATTGACAGATGAATGAGAGGGGAAATGGGTGTTTCAGCTAAGAAGGGTGAGTAAATGGATGGATGAATTAGTGATGTTTTAGGAGATGGGTGGGTAGGTAAATGGTTGGATAGAGAGATGGGTGAGTTGATGGATGAATAAGTGAGTAAGTAGATGGATGAGCAGGTGATATTTCAGGTGGTATGGACAGATAAATGGGTCAGGGACGGGTTGGTGCTTTGGGGTAAGATGATGGTGGTGAGGTGAACAGATGGATAGGTAGATGGTGGGTATTTTTTCATGTGGGATGAATGGATGATAGAAATTTGGGATGAGGGCCTCCCTGGTGGCGCAGGGGTTAAGACGCAACCTATGAAGAAATCCGCAGCCACTGCAGCACAAGTTCGATTCCCGGCCGGCCAGGGAGAAACCCACATGGTGGGACAGATCTCTCCTGTCTCGCCCGCTGCTCCCCTCAGCAGTGTACTTAGGTCCGTCTGCCTGTTCTGTTCCCCACTCTGTCTCTGGTGAATCCTCTCACCACCGTGCATCTCTGGCCTGTACCCCAATTCTTGTATAAAAATAAATAAATCTTTAAAAAAAAAAAAAAGAAATTTGGGATGAGTTGGGTGATTTTGAGGACTGGACAAAGGCAGTGATGCTCACCCCATCCCAAACTTTCCTTCCCTCCTTGCAGGTGCCCCAGACCCCACAGCAGGTGCAGGCATTGAGGATGCTAACTGCTGGCACCTAGATGAGGAGCAGATCCAGGAGCAGGTGAAGCAGCTTCTGTCCAATGGAGGCTACTATGGTGCCAGCCAGCAGCTGCGCTCCATGTTCTGCAAGGTACTGTCTGCAAACGCAGGTGAGGAGACTGGAGAGCCCTGGTGCAGGCAACCGCCCTTCCTTACCACCCTGTCCTGGCACAGGTGCGGGAGATGTTGCGGATGAGGGACTCCAACGGGGCCCGCATGCTGATCCTCATGACTGAGCAGTTCCTGCAAGACCCACGCCTGGCCCTGTGGAGGCAGCAAGGAGCAGGCATGACAGACAAGTGCCGCCAGCTATGGGATGAGCTCGGTGAGGCCCAGACCCTGGAGCTTGGCACACACCAGGGGCCCCCGGCTCTTCCCTGCCCTGAGATTATGGTCTGTCCCCTGAATCTCTGATGTAGGAGGCAATGGTGAGGCAATGGCGGGGTAATGGCAAAAAAAAAATGGGAGATTAAATACCCCCCCTGATGTAATTGACACTTAAGAGAGAGAGATGAGAAAACATAGTTTATGCTTGAACAGCATGGGTTTGAACTGTGAAGGTCCACTTATACGCAGATGTTTTTCTTTCCTGAGTTCTGCACTCAGGATTCCACCAACCTCATAGGTCAGTGGGTTGAACCCCCAGAACTCGAGTATACTGAAGGCCAACTCTACGTTCATTCTACATGGATTTTGACGGGCGGTGGAGGGGGAGGGGAGTGGGGAGGGGGGGTGTTTTTAGTGCCCCTAACCTCTGGGTTGTTCCACGGTTAACTGTATGACAAACCCCAGAGATCCATACACATTTTTCATAAGGGCTGGGCGAGTTGGTAGTTCGCGCTTTCCTGGCCATTTGTCACAGCCACACAATTCTGTCCATTGTGGTGAGAAAGCAGCCACAGACACATGAGCCAATGGTCATGACATCAGCCAAGAAAACTGTGCTTATGGACAATTTATTTTTTGAATTTTGTGTCATCTTCACCAGTCACAAAATACTCTTTTATCTTTCACCTACCTTTTAAAAAGGTAAAAATAAAGCTTAACTCACAGACCACTCAAAAACAGGTGGCAGGTTTGATTTTCTGCCTGGAGAATGGTATGCCCACCTCTATGACAGATGGTAATAATAGCGGGAAAAACAGCAAGAGGCATATGACAGCCTCTGTTTGCATCCTGTCTTCCAACTTCCTAGCTGCAGGACCTCAAAATGACTTTACCTCTCCGTGCTTTGGTTTTCTTACCTGTAAAGTAGAGACTGTTAGCGGCAGAGGCCCGAGGTGTGGGTGAACAGAGTGCAGCCCAGATGCAGCAGGCACTGTGTAAGGGCGAGCAGCTACTGTTGGCATGAGTATGAGCCTCCCTCTGTACCTCCCAGGGGCCCTGTGGGTGTGCGTGGTCTTGAGCCCCCATTGCAAACCAGAGGAACGAGCCAGCTGGCTCCAGCTGCTGGGCAAGTGGAACAAGCTGGACGTGTGCCCGCTGGAAGAGGGCAACTACTCCTTTGATGGGCCCAGCCTGCAGTCCCCCAAGGCCCTCAGCCCAGGTAGGAGAGGGATCCCTGCCACTCCCTGCCAAACCATTACCACTGCCTGTAACCAAACTTCTGGGGACAGCTAAGGGGGCTCCCAGCCCTTGCCTTCTTCCCTGTTGGGAAGGAGGGAGCACCCAGGATGGGGGTGGGGTAGTGGATATCCTGAAGGACAGGAAGTGACATGTTTACAGCACCAGTCGTTCTGGGCTGGTCTCCTGATCCAGCCTCCTCCTGGCTGACTGAAGAGAGGCAGAGCTGATGGGAGACAGATAGAGGAAGAGTGAAAAAGGAACAAGAGGATTGGGAGGAGAGAGGGAGAGAGGAATGGAGTATGGGGAGAAAGATGGAGGAGTTATTCAGCCTCAGTTGCTTGAAGGTCTATAATCGTTTTTCCACCACACGTGTATGCATGAACACACATGCGTTTGTGTGTTTGAATGCTGTTAAATGACTACTGTAGGAGCTTGGGGGAGTTTAGACACACCCATCACTGTGTCCAGAACCTAACCAAGCTGACACTTGGTGGGGAGAGTTGATCACGCCCAAGGGCACCCTCACCCATGGGTGCCTCTCCACAGGCCTGGAGGAGGAAGAAGAGGAGGAAGAGGAGGTGGCAGCAGGTTCCCGCCACACAGTGTTTGGCCGCGCCCTGCAGGCTGGGTCATTGCACTGGAGCGACACCCACTTGCAGAGGATCCTGGCCAGTGACTCCTACAGCCCCAGTCTCACAGGCAACATGGGCAGCGACAAGCCAACCTCTGACCCCCAGGGCCGCCCACTCTGGCTGGGTGAGCCCTTCCCCACGGCCTGTGCCCGCGTGGACACCCTGCGTGCCCACGGGTACCCACGCCAGGCCCTGCGGTTGGCCGGCGCCATAGTCAACACACTGCGGCTGCAGCGGCGACATCAGCTGGAGAGCTACAAGCAGCAGAAGAAAGGTCGGTGTCCACACGGCCTGTCCCAGGGGCTGCGGGTACACTTAGGGTCCCTCCGGGAAAACAGACAGGATCACTGCAAGTGTTCTGAGCAGAAAGGAAGTTAATACGGCGGGTTGGAAACTTCCAAAATTACTGAGAGGACTACAGGATTGAAAGCAAACCTGCTGCTGGTTCAGGAACTTGAATTCAGAACCACAGGCCTTCCGGTAGCTACAGCCCCCTTGGGGGGCAGTTCCTATGAGGATACCAGGAACCTACTGGCAGAACTTCATGTTTGTGCCCAGTGGACAGCCGCATTGCTGCTCACAAGGGGGTACACCAGCCACAGACCTTTAAGCAATCTGGCCCCAGTGTGCCAGAAATTTCAATTTTCCAATAAAGACCAGAAATGTGGTAGATTATTTGAGGAGGGATTTACTGATTTTTAAACATGGGCAACAAATTCAAATTTGTATTATTAAGAAAAAATAACACTGTACGGCTGCAAAAAAAAAATGACCATGTTTGTAGAATCACGTGGGGGCTGAGAGAGGCTACCAGTTGTGTTCTATTATAGGGGCAGTAGGGTTGGGTTAATAGATTGTTACCAGGAAATTGAACATAAGGTCCAAGAGGAGAAACATGGAGGTTCTGGAACCCAAGCAGAGCCCTGACCAGCCTGGAGGAGGTGAGAGCTAAGCTGAGATGTTAGGATGTATAGAGAGGGAGGGAGGAAAAGTGTTCCAGGTAGAAGGAACAGCATGGGCAGAATCCCACAGGCAAGAAAGAGCAGGGCTTGTGGGAGGAGGTAGGAGGATGGGCTTCCATATGCCGCCACATATCAGTTCTTGGGGACACTGGAAGCTAGTTGGGCTGGAGATGGAAAGGAGTAACACTGGTTGGATTTTTAGGAAGCACCAAGTTTGGTCTCTGTTTCCTGCCAGGCCTGGGTCTGGCCATGGGATAGGCCAGGACTGTAGAAGGGTGGGCTGCTGTCTGTAAGGATATCAGTTGATGGGCAGCTGGTGGGTGGGCACTGGGAGGCTAAACTGGGGGTTGGGAGAGGAAGCCCCACCCTAGGGGTTAGGCAGGTGGTTGGGCATTGAGCACTTCTTCCTGCCTGCAGAGCTGCTGCAGAAAGGTTCCACTTGTATCACCAACACGGAAGGATGGGTGGGCCACCCCCTGGATCCCATTGGCTGCCTCTGCAGGGCACTCCTGGAAGCCTGTCGCTTGGAGGAAGAAAGCCTCGCCCTTTACCCAGGTACCTACATGGGGACCTCTAGAGGAGGTGGGATGACTCCTGGCCCAATACCCCTGGCAAACAAGGCCACAGCCTTTTTCACATCCCTACCTTTCTCTGTGCTCCTAACCTAGGCCACATCCCCTGGCCAGTGCCAGGAGCCAATTGACATAGCTTTAGAAAATGAGGCCTATCTGCTGGTAAAAGGCAGACTCTCACCCCCAGGGTTAGTGTGGGGAGTTGAGCTTCCCTAAACCACTCCCCCAACCCAAGTCTACATGCTTGAAGTCAAGGGCCACTGGGGTCCCAGAAAAGGGGACTACCCTTCATCATCCCTGGTACTTGTCTCCCACAGACTCAGGCCCTGAGAAGCGGAAGGTCGCCTACCAGCATGTACCTGTGCCTGGGAGCCCTGGGGAGTCCTACTTGGCACTGGCGCTGGAGGTAGCACTGCTGGGCCTGGGGCAGCAGCGGGCCCTGCCTGAGGGATTGTACGCCCAAGACAAGGTGGTGCGCAATGAGGAGCAGCTGCTGGCCCTCCTGGAGGAGGTGGAGCTGGATGAGCGGCTGGTGCAGGTGCTGCGTAAGCAGGCCGGGCTGCTTCTGGAAGGTGAGTCCTCACCCCATGGCCCACCTGTTCACCAGTGGCCTGGTTCAGCTACTGGACCAGGAAGCCCTGATCCTAGCCCTTCCTTCTGGTCTCTTCTGTGACCTCCTACCTTGATGGTTCCTGAAAGGTGATGTGTAGCCTTCCATCCTGCTTCCCTAACACTCCTGACCGCCAATAACTGCTACCAGTGGTAGCACCCCAACCCGTTCCACCTTGGAGCCAGTGAGCTAAGTTGCTGATGCTCATGCACATACTGGCCCACCCCTGCTCTCCTGAGTTTCATTGACTCTACCCTTGGTTGCCTTGTAAGACCCTGCCCCTGACCCTAGAATGAGCCCCCCTGCACCCTTTGGCCCAATCCTGCTCTGAGCGCCCCACCCAGGGAAATTTTACAATCTTCCAGAAGTTAACCTCAGTTTCAGCTCTGCACCCTCACACCTAATCCCAGCAATTCTATCCTGGGATTTGCCCATCCCCCACTTAGAGCCTGGGGTCTAAGCAGACTGGGGGGTGGCAGGGGTGAGCCTGCACCTGGAAATTACTCAGGCTATCTTGGCAGGGGGTCCCTTCAGCGGCTTTGGAGAGGTGCTGTTCCGGGAGAGCGTGCCCATGCACACCTGTGCCCGCTACCTGTTCACTGCACTGCTGCCCCACGACCCCGACCTGGCCTACCGCCTGGCACTTCGAGCCATGAGGTGAGGCCAGGAGGCCAGGAACTCGGCCCATGGAGCTGGGTAGGGGTGGGGGTGGGAGGCAAGCTTGGAGCCCAATTCTCTCCCCTCAACTAACTCAGCCTGGTTAATTCAATCTCCCTCAGGCTGCATTCAGGCTGCCATGTAGCTGCAGTGTCTGTTACGTTTGAATTTGAGGATCATCTACGCGATACAGAATTCAGAGTCCTTTTCTGGGCAAGGTTATCTCAACCTCAGGGAGGCGGGCATTGTTGCCACTTTGTTGTCTAGCCTGCCAGAATCTAGCTTTCTGCAAACGCATCATTTAGAAGCTGAGAACCAGTCCTCCTTTCACATCCATTCTCAGCCTGTGCCTATTTGTACCACGTTTCCACTCACCGTGGCATCTTAGATTCTGCCCTATTGCATGGGGTACTGTAGCCACACACCATAAAAGAGTCAGTCTGAAGCTGATGATATTTGTACTATTTTCAAAAAGTCATTGCAGTGAGTCACTTTGTTATTTCTCAAATACACCAGTGTGTCATAGAAGCAGAAGTTTTTTTGTTGTTTTTTTTCAAAGATTGATTTATTTATACAAGAACTGGGGTATAGGCCAGGTGTGCGGGAGGGTGAGAGGATTCACCAGAGACAGAGCGGGGAACAGAACAGGCAGACGAACCGAAATACACTGCTGAGGGGAGCAGCAGGCGAGACAGGAGAGGTCTGCTGCGCCATGTGGGTATCTCCCTGGCTGGCTAGGGATTGAACCCACACTGCAGAGGCCGTGGACAGCTTCACAGCGCTGTGCTCAACCTGCTGCACCACCGGGTAGGCCCTCACTTTGACTTTTTCTTTTTAATTTTTTTAATTTATATTTTTGCGTAGATGAACTGGGGTATAGATAAGAGGTGTGGGAGGTGAGAGGATTTACCAGAGACAGAGTGGGGAACAGAACGGGCAGACTCACTGAAATATACTGCTGAGGGGAGCAGTGGGCGAGACAGGAGATGTCTGCTGTGCCATGTGGGTAGCTACCTGGCCGGGGATCAAACTCAGGCAGTAGAGGTGATAGCCCTGAGACTTAAACCCTAGGCCACCAGGGAGGCCCCTTGACTTTTTTTAATGGTTAAAAAAATCAGAAGAATATTCTGTGAAACCTGAAAAGTACTATGAAATTCAAATATGGGTGTCTGGAAATATTGGCCCAGGTAGCCACACTCATTCGTTTACATGTTCTCTGTGGCTGCTTTTGCACAGCAATGACCCAGTTGAGGACAGATCACCCACAGAGCCAAAAGGATTGGCTATAAAGCCCTTTGAAGAAAAAAGGTGCTGACCTCTAACTCCATGGCTCGTTACCCAATATAATCTTCTAAATAGCCTATTAAAATGAGTATGTTGGGCCTCCCTGGTAGCACAGGGATTAAGTTTCAGCACCATCAAGCTATCATCAGCCACTGCTCCTGAGTTCAATCCCTGGCCAGGGACCTAACCCACATGGCACAGCAGACCTGTCCTGTCTTGCCCACTGCTCCCCTCAGCAGTGCATTTCAGTCAATCTACCTGTGCTTCTCCCCACTCTGTAGTGGATCCTCTCATCCCCCACACCTCTGACCTACAGCCCAGTTCTTGTGTGCATAAATAAATAAAAAAATATTTTAAATATATATATAAATAAAATAAGTATGTTTACGCCATATGCACACAAGTAGGTTTAAATGTGTCCAGAGTTACTGAGTGAGGAAATTTTGATATTTTCAACCAGAATAGTCTTGGCTCCAACCACATGCTGTTGATCCCATCTAATAACTTAGAAGACTTTTCTAAACACAAAATAAATATACAGCAATGTGTCACTTAATGCTGGGGATATGTTTTGAGAAATGTGTCATTAGGCAGTTTTGGCATGTATACAACATTAGTAGTTTTACACACCTGGATGGCACAGCCTGCTACATGCTTCGACCACATGGTGCCGCTTACTGGGCCACGGTCATATTTGCGGACTGTCATCGATGGCAGCCTCACTAAGCGGTGGTCATAAACACCACCACAGAGGACATCTCGCACACATAGCTTCTCTCTTCCTGGGTGCCCAGGTCTCTGCTGTTCCAAGGGAGGAGGTTTTCCTAGAGAGATTGGAGACTCTAGCCTTGCCCCATGGTGGGCTTCCTTCTCCCTCACCCTAGGCTGCCGGTACTAGAGACAGCGTTTCCCGCCGGAGAGCCTCACCCCAACCCACTGGACTCCATCATGAGCAACCGCTTCCCACGCTGGTTTATCCTTGGCCACCTGGAGACCCGCCAGTGCGAGCTGGCCTCCTCCATGCTGACAGCTGCCAAGGGTGAGGACAGCAGCTGCCCCCACCCCCCTGTCCTGTTAACACTTTCCTCTCCCTCCTTTCTATCTTTTTCCCGAATTCTACCAGTTTTCTTGAATGCTTTGCGCATGTCCCAGGCACTGTCTCAGGTGCTACAGATGCAGCAATGAAAAAAACTCACCATCGCCATGCCCTGTGTTGTCACATTCTAGTGAGGCAAACAGACAGTAGCCTTGGTAAGAAAGATAGTCATGCGGTGAGTGAGAAGCTTCTTAAATGCTACAGAGGGGACAGAAGGTGGGGGAGGCGTCATTTAAACAAAGACCTGCAGGTGAGGGCACAGCCATGCCGACATCTGCTATCTCAGGCAGCTTGGGCTGCCATGTGAAATACCCATAGCCTGGGTGGCCTAAGCCAGACATTTATGTTCTTGTGTTTCTGGAGGATCAAGTCCCAAGATCAGGGTGTCAGCCTGGTCAGTTCCTGGCAAGGACTCTCTTCCTGGCTTGTGGACAGTCCCATTCTTGCTGTATCTCACTTGGTGGGGGTCTTTTTTCCTCCTTTTATTAGGGCACTAATCCCATCTTGGGGACCCCACCCTCATGACTTCATCTGAACCTGATTGCCTCCCAAAGGTCCCACTCCCTAATGTCATCGCATTGGCCATTAAGGCTTCAACGTATGAATTCTATGAGGATACAATTCAGTCCATAGTATCTGAGAAGAGCATTCCAGGCAAAAGGAACAGCCAGTGCAAAGGCCTTCTGGTTGAACTATGCCTGGTATATTTAAGGAATAGAAAGGAGGAGACTGGTGTGGCTGTAATGGAGTGACAGAATTGTAGGGTCTGGGCCAATGGTGATAATAGTTAGTAAAAGCTCACATTTGTGTAGGTCTTACCACATTAATGTCTTGATTAAGTGTGGGCTCACCACAGCCCCTGTGAGGCAGGTGCCATTGCAGTTGTATTACCCATTTTACAGATGGGACCACCGAGGCAGAGAGGTGAAGCGACTTAATCAGGGTCACACAGCTAGTGAGTGACAGGTCAAGGATTTGAACACTGGCATTCTGGGTCCCAGATTCTCAATGCCCTTGACAATGTGGGGTACAGGAGGTCGTAAGGTTACTTCTTCCCATTGGAAGGGGGATGGCAGAGGAGAAAAGGGATCCAGGACACTCCGGATCTTCACACAATTGTCACCAGGTCTCCCTCCATGCTTATACATACACTGTGTGAAGGAATCTTCGTGAGCAGGTCAAGCAGGGGTTGGGCACCCTGTGACAGCTGTGCACTCTGCACCTCCCCTGCCCCTAGGAGACCCCAAATGGCTGCACACAGTACTGGGCTCCATCCAGCAGAATATCCACTCGCCAGCCCTGCTCTTCAAGTTGGCACAGGATGCCTGCAAGACAGCCACCCCAGCCAGTGTACCACCCGACACCACCCTGCTGGGCATAGCGCTGGAGCTGGGCCTGCAGGTGAGGACCCCCCAGGAGGACGGGGGAGGAGGGTGGAAGGGAAGGGGAATGCTTCCTGAAGGTGGAGCCTGAGCAAATACCACCTCTGGGGAAGGTCTAGATATGAGCCCACACATGGGTGTGGGGCCTGGGGTGAGCCCTGCCTCAGCTCTGGCCTGCAGGTGAGGACTTCTCTGTGTGGAGCCACTGAGGGGCAGGGGCTGTGATAAAAGTCCTGGGGCTGAGGGAATGTGCTCCCCTGTGGGGTGGGACTGTGACTGAGGGACTCAGCAGAGAGCCTGAAGATGGGAGTCTGCCCTGAGGGTAGCTAAGCAGCAGGAGGGGTAAGGGCCCTGCAGGTGAGTGAGTGAGCCACAATATGTGGCCTAGGGTGCTCATAGTAAGCTCTGTGGGTGGGTGGGGCTGAAGCTGAGAGGCCAGCTTGCCAATAAGGATCTTTCTTGGGAGTGCAGCCTGTAGGGACCACTCCCCAGAGGGAGGGACCCCCATTGAGGGGCATGAGGGAAAACCCTGAAGGTGAAGAGTCACCTCTGAGGGTGGGGATTGTAGCTGAAAATGACATAGGTGGGTACCCCAGTGTGGGCAGTCCTGCAAGGGTAAATCAGAGGCCAGCATGAGTACAGACTGTAGATGAGGAGACCACTGCAAGGTATGGGACATAGAAGGGGCAGCACCCTTGAGGGCTGTTTCTTAGAAAGAGCAAGAAACACCTTGGGGCAGATTTGCAGGATGCATAGGACCTTTCCATGTAAAACTGGCAAACAATGGGCCTGCAGGAGGCAAAATTGGCCTCTTCAGGGGGATGGAGCCTTGTAGGAGGTGGAAAGGAGTTTCCAGAAGCAGACAAGACCTGCTAATGGGGTGAGGCAAGCTCCCCTCTGGGGAGAGACAAACTTAATGTAGGTGGGAGCTAAAGAGAACATGTGTTTTTGTTTCGGGCTACTGAGGAAGAATCTGCTGACATGAAATATGGAACTTTCTGGAAAAAAGAAACAGGTTGTTAGGATCTGAGAGTAGCACCAACAATAACAGTAACAATAAGTGTCTAGTTGAACACTTCGAAGCAATAGGCACTATCCCAAGAGCTTTGCCTATACAGCTGTTTTTATAGTTCTCACAACAACCCTTTGAGAATAGATGTTATTTTATCCCCATTTTGCAGATGAGAAAACTGAGGCCCAGACAGGTAAAACCTCTAACCCCGATTATATGGTTCATTGACTCAGCAGCTTAACTTCCAGGTCTTCTGAGGCCCTTCAAGATCCCTGACCCTCTCCAGGAGCCAGCCTAGGGTTTTTCTGGGTGACCCCTCCTCTCCCTTCTCCCACCCTGCAGGTGATGCGGATGACCCTGAACACTATGACCTGGCGGCGGAGGGAGATGGTGCGCTGGTTGGTCAGCTGTGCCACAGAAATCGGTGAGAGTCCTCAAGGGACCTGCCACCCATTTCCCTGTTGCTGTTCAGGTGTCACTGAGGGAACCCAGCAGGCACGAAAGAGAAGCAGATTTTTCCCTGACTCTAGTCCTTGCTCAGAGCTAAGCCAGGAGGGAATGTCAGGCAGGGGAATTGAGCTTGACAAAGAACCAGAGGCTGGCCAGGCTAAAGTGCTTGGGGAAGGGACACTGGCTTCAGAACTTAGCTCCGCCCAGTCCAGCTGCCCCCTGCCCCTTTGGGAAGGTAAAGCACCATTTCTGTTCAGCACAAGGTGGAGGCACAGGGGTCTGACTTGTGGGGATGGCAGTGTCTGTGTAAACCCATGCACATATGCCCACTCCCCTACCCTCCCACCCTTTCCTGACCAGTTGCACATCTCCCCTGCCCCAGGCCTGCAAGCCCTTGTGAACATCATGCAGAATTGGTATTCTTTATTCACACCGGTGGAGGCGGCCACCATCGTGGCAGTGACGGGCACCACTCATGCCACACTATTACGACTTCAGCTAGATGCTCCCCGGCGGGAGGATCTCTGGGCCTGTGCCCGAACTCTGGCCTTGCAGTGCGCCATGAAAGACCCTCAGAACTGCGCCTTGCCCGCCCTCACCCTGTGTGAGAAGAACCACGCGGCTTTTGAGGCGGCCTACCAGATTGTACTGGATGCAGCAGCTGGAGGCCTGGGCCATGCCCACCTGTTCACCGTGGCACGCTATATGGAGCACCGTGGCCTTCCTCTGCGTGCTTACAAGCTGGCCACATTGGCCCTGGCACAGCTGAGCATCGCTTTCAACCAAGACAGCCACCCAGCTGTCAACGATGTGCTTTGGGCCTGCTCACTCAGCCATTCGCTGGGTCGCCACGAGCTTTCGGCCATTGTCCCCCTCATCATTCGCAGCATCCACTGTGCCCCCATGCTCTCTGACATCTTGCGCCGCTGGACCCTCTCAGCACCTGGTCTGGGCCCCCTGGGGGCCCGCCGGGCTGCCAAGCCACTGGGCACTGACCGGGCGCCTCTCTGCCAGCTCCTGGATGCAGCTGTGGCAGCATACATCACCACCAGCCACTCCCGCCTCACACACATCAGCCCTCGGCACTACGGCGACTTCATCGAGTTCCTGGGCAAGGCCCGTGAGACCTTTCTGCTGGCACCTGACGGGCACCTCCAGTTCGCCCAGTTCTTAGAGAACCTCAAACAGACCTACAAGGGCAAGAAGAAGCTCATGCTCTTGGTGCGGGAGCGTTTTGGCTGAGGGGCAACCAGCAGGTGGGGGTGATCCCGCTGCATGCCTGCCTCTTGGGCACCCGCTCTTCAGGGCCTCAACGCTGTAGGCCCTTGTGGCATTTCAGTATTAAGTCAGGGAAGGATCCTGGCAGGAACTAAGTGGTCTTGCCATCCCCCCCACCCCAAGCCCAGCTGGAGATGAGAGGCAGGGGGTGGCATCCTGCCATGTGCGTGCCTAGGAGTGTTGGAGCCAGTGTGAGACGCAAGGATCAGAAGCCATAGCACCACCTAGAGTCTTGGAGGGGGGTGTGTGCTTGGGCAGTTGGTGTGACCCCCACCTTGGAAACCCCAAAAGCAATAGGCAATCTCCTCCCTGAACTTGTAGGCCCGGCTTGGGCTGGGGGGTGGGGTGCATGGGGAAGCTGGGAGGTAGGACTTTCCAGAAACCTGTCCTCATTGTCAATGTAGCAGACACTTCCTGCACCCACTTTAGGTGGCCAGGGGACTTAGGTTAGGGCATTGAAAGCTCCTTTTGTACCCTCCCCTCACTGCCTCAGGGTCCCCATCCCTGCCCCCTCCAGGCTGCCCAGCTGGGACCAATGGCTCATCCCAACTGAAGGATTTGAAGAGGCCTCAGACCTCGACCACATACCTCATCCCTTGTCCAATGAGGACTCTATTCCCTTGGGTGCCGGGGTCCCAGAGTGGACTTGGGGGATCATTGCTGTCCCTCCTCCTACCAGCTAGTCACTGGATGTACAACTCAGGAACTGAGCCAGGCTCACGTCCCCCAAACCTGGTGTCAGGGGAAACAAGTGCAGGAGAGCCAGGGACCCTTGCCCCTGATCTGGAAAGGGAGAGGCCAGCATCTTGGCATTATCTGCCTCGCTGTCCCTTTCACCTGTGCCTCCCAGCTCCTCTTTACCTTACTCCCTTTCCATATTTCTCTGTCTTGCCTGCATTTCTATTTGTGTCTCTTAAGTCCCACTGCCTCTCTTTCACCTCCCTCCCTCTTGGCCCAGGAAGGAGGGGGGAGAATATTTCACCCCACCCCATTCCCTCTATCTTTTCTCCTCTTGTAATTAAGGACAAAAGATCATGTCATTTTGTAACATTTTTCTATTTATTGAACTATATATTGTATTTCCCTTTTCCTTTTTTTTTTTTTTTTTTTTTTTTTTTTTTTTACGATTGAACACAGCATTTTCTTTCTAATTTTGAAGGTCTGACATGTGCCCCTCTAATCGGGTCAGGGCTCCCTCCACAAACTTTCTGCCTCATCTCTTCAAGGGGTGAAATGGGAGTGATGTCCTGTTTCAGTCAGTGATGATAGTGTGAATAATAGCAGACAGGAGTGGAGAGGTCACCGTGAGCAAGCTATGCACTGAATGCTTTACACCTGTCATCTGTTGTGCATCCTCATCCCAGCGCTGCAAGTCAGTATCATCCCCATTTTACAGACAGGAAAACAGCGCCAAAGGAAAGGGCGCCTGCGTAGGAAGCCGCTGGGAATGGCCACTAGGGGGTGCCATGGCTCCAGATACTGGTATTGGGGGTACTTGTGCCAAAGTTACTGAGGGAGTAGGGGGGCCTTGTCCAGTACGGAGTGCAGCTCTTTGGGAGGACTCCCCCGCCCCGATGTTGGGAATGCTGGGCTTACACTAAGTCGCGGTGGGCGGGCCCTGGCCGAGGCGGGAGGTGTGGTGGGTGTGGTCAGTGGGGCGCGGTCAGGGCATGTCTGGACTCCCGCCCTAAAGCTCAGGTTTCCAGTTCCCAAACGAGGAATCTGAGGGATGCAAGGTCCTCGGCTGCCCTCCTTCCCTGGCTGAGAAGCGCCTCCCTCGGGACCTTCTGGTCTGGACGGACGGACGGATGGACCGACTGGGACAGTTAGGGCGGGGGCAGGCGAGGACACAGGCTTCCCCGAGGGGCGGGGCGGGGCGGGGCGCGGCCGCTAGAGGGCGCCGAGGCCGCGCGCGAGCCCGTGGGCAGGACTTCGGCGGCGCCGGGCTAGGCGCTGGCTTCGAGGCGCCGCCCTCCCATTGAGGGGGCCAATGGGAAGCGGTCCCGCCCTTCATGTTCCCGCAGGTATGGGCGAGTGGGCCTGTCAGCGGCGCTGTTGGCGCCGTGTGGAGGCCTAGGAGAGAAGGGGAGCCCCCTGAGTTCTCGCTATCAGCGTGGGCTCTGTGGTCCCAGCCGCATCCAAATGCCGTCCTTGGGACTGTGGCGCCCCTTACTGTGCCCCACAACTTTCAAAGTCATCCAAAAGTATTCCCTGGGGTTACACTGAAATATCACCCCCCTGCCGACCCAACTTCACTTCAAGTTTCCAGCACCCCAAATATCGCCCCTAGGCTGAAGTAATCCCTTATCTCAGTCGCCTCAGTTATATGTGAAAACCCATGATTTCTGTCAACCCCCACCCAGGCCTATGGCATTCCTCATGGGACACTAAATCCCTGCCGCGACAGCCCCCTTTGTCACCACTTAAGTCCTGAAAGTCAGTCTCTCCAGTCCAGGGTTCCCCCCCAGGATATCTTTCAAGGTCACCTTTCCACACCCCGGGGAACCTTCTCCACTCAGGTGACTAAGCTGTTGCCTTCCGTAGAACAGCTGGGGCCAGGAAAGGGAGAAGGTGCAGGGACAGTGAATTCAGGTCGACCAACGCCCCTACCCAAAAGGTTGGGACTCCAGAGAGGAGGTGGGAGTGAAACAACACCAGGCCTTCAAGAATGAGGTGGGGGCAGCTTTTATTGAATTGGACAAGAAATGCAACACACAGCAGACTACTCCAAGCTTCTGGCTGCTCCCACCCTGCCCCAGCCCCAGCAGCCTGGGGGAAGTCACTCTGCCTTCCCAGTTGTACCCTAAAAAGAGCCCCATCCCATCTGATAGTGGACAGTTCAACTCTTTCATGCCCTGAGACCACCCAGGGCTGAACAGACCAGCTTGTGTCATTTCTGGGCCATAAGGACCTCAGCTACCACCCCTATACCAGAGGGTGTCATGGTCCTCCCACCCCAAGTTAGGAAGCCTCAGGGCTCAAGGAGGAGGGACTAGGCATTCTCAGGTCAGGCCAGCCTGGTTCAGGAAGCTCAGAGTTGGCATTTAACGGTCTGAGGGCCCGAGGCAGCTTCCTCTTGGGTAACAGACTGCTGGAAAGGTGCAGGCCAGCTGTGGCCCCACCAAGCATGAGAGAGGAGGGGCTGAGGCTCCTGGCCAGGAGGGTCGTCCAGGCGAGGACACAGCTGGCTTCTCTTTCACATGGAAGGGCCACCCACCCATCTGTCCTCCCTGGGAGCCCAGCCTAGCAGGAGGTAGGACTGGGAGGGGGGTCCCCAAGTGCAGAGTTGGGGGAGGGAGCCGGCAGCAGACAGCTGGGTATACACAGCTGGATCCAACCACCCCATCCCAGGCCCCAACTCTCCCCAAGTCCCTCCTCCAGACACAGGCCTGGGTCTGGGTCCTCATCTCCTCCCCCAGGCATCAGCCCACCCAGGGGGCAGGGGCCACAGGCTCCGAGGGGGCTCGACTCCTGTTCCTGCTGAACTGAGCCAGTCTGCACAAATCAACTGTGTTTCAGCTCAGTAGGCACAGGAGGCAGAGCCCGGGGAGACCCGGGCAGCGGTGGGAGAGGAGGCAGGGCAGGAGGAGGTGGGGGCCCCGGGGGCGGAACTTAGCCACTGTGAACATGACTTGGTGTAGACCCTGCTCACAAGCAGCTAAGCCCTGCTCCCCAGGCCAGATGCAGGCGGTGGGGGACCTCTGCCATGCCATCCCCAGGTAGGTCCTTGGCAGTGGTGGTGGCAGCAGTGGTGGCCCCAGAGGCAGGGCTCAGGGTCGGTTGGTAATCCCTGGCAATGTGATTTGTGACAGGCAGCAAATCCCATCCCCAGGAACCCCAGCCGGCCATGGCACAGGGGTGGGGGGGACACCGGGAGGGGCCAGCGGCTGTCACCTAGGAGGGAGAAAGCAAAGGAGGTAATGAGATTTGAGGACATCTGTCTTCCAGTTTCTGCCTGCTGCCACCCTCTGAGACCTTGCAGGAAAGTCTTGTCTCCATGTTTGAAAACAGAACTGGTCACCAAGCTTGAGAGCCCTTCCCCAGCCATACCCTGACTCCCAGGCATGGAAAGGCACAAATGCCTGGCTGGTCCCTTTAGGCCAGGAAGGCTACAGGAACTCCCAGAACTAGGTTTCCTCCACCCCTGCTACTTTTCCCAGCCCCTACCCACCCTCCCCTACCTCCCTACTTTACCTACCCGCCCCCCTACAACGACTAAGCCCTGGGCAGGCTAAATGGGGCCATGGGGAGAGGAAGCTGAGGGGGTGGCGGGCAGGCGGGTGAGGAAGTGATCTCACCCCAGCTGGCGCCACTTCCTAGAAGCCTGAAGGGCAGGAGGAAACCACCAGGACCTCCCCCCATGGCCCGTCTCGTCAGAGGCCAGGTCTCAGCTCCAGCCCCACCAGAGCGGATGCCAGCAGCGGGCTCCCAGTGCTCCCCACAGGCATGCAGGCTCCCTGAGCTCTGGACCCAGGCTTTTGGTGTAAATACCAGCTCACAGTTTCCCAAATGTCCTCCAAACCTCAGTTTCCCCATCTGTAAAATGGATCCAACGGTCCGTGCCAAGTAGCGCAGGTAAGTTTCACCACAGTGTCCCTTGTCAAGTGCCCAGTACCAATACCACAGGCAGAATTTGTGGGGCTTGATGCAAAATGAAAATGAGGCCCCCTGTTCACAAACTAAGAATTTCAAGGTATCAACAGCAGAATATTTAACCAAGCACCAGGTCCTCAAGAGAGGAGGGGGGCTCCGTGAAACTGCCGGGTCAACACACCCATGAAACCAGCTCTGTGTTCAGTAAACAGAAATCTCCGTTACGACGAGAGCCCTGCAGGTGGAAGATCCCAACTCTGGAGCCAACCTGGCAGAAGCTTCCTTGCTGGGTGACATGGGAAAGACACGCAACCTCTCCAGGCCTTTGTTTCCCCATGTGCCAAGCAGAGATGTTCTGGAAAGGCTCTCTCCCTTGAGTGAAAGGATAATTAGGACAGGGCTATGCTATTATCATTTACCAGCCAGTTGCAGGAAAGATGGTAGAAATGAGGACCCCAGCACTCAGATTTAGTGGCACCTACACTCCAGGAAGACAGAGAAAAATGTCCTGCATTTTCCCCACACACACTGTCCACTAACTGTTCCACTGGGCCCTAGTCCAGCCCTGTCCCTCCAGGGTCTGGGGGCACCAACCGGGAGCAGATGAGGCCCTGCAGAGCAGCCAGCCTCTCTGGGCCGCCTCCGGAAGTGAGACAGCACATTCGTGTCCCAGGGACTAGAACGGGAAGGGCGGCCATTTGGCCAGGCTTGTTTCCTGTGGGGTTTCCCCTGCACAGAGCCCCGGGCCAGGGCCAAGGCCACTCCCCGTCCCTACAGGCACAAAAGGCCTGGGTCCCTCGTGGAGGGGTCACTGCCCAGGAGCCTGGGCCCTCGTTACCAATGTCATGCCTCTCAAGCTCAGGGGAGCTGGTGTCCAAGGAGAGCCAACCCCCTGGCAGCTGGAGGTGTGGGGGAAGGGCACGGGTAGAGTGAGAGGAGGGTGGGCCTCCAGGGGGGCCAGGAGAAGCCAAGCAGGCCCCAGACACACCAATGTATATATGTATGCTGGATATGCTCTGCAGACAGGGCGTGTACGCATGAGACATGTGGGCACGAATACTGCCACCCCCCCTCCAACCCAAAGCTCTAAGAATGAATCAGGGGCAGCTTCCGCCGGGGGCGCCACCACCATCACCGCCCCCAAGCCTGGTCCCCAAATACTTTCCACCCTCAGAGAGCAGCTGGGATCGGAAAATACCAAAGGCTGCAGGCCCCGCCCTGCCCGCCGCTGCCGCCTGCCCTCCCGCCTGTCACTAATGCTTTGCCTAATGCGTCCAGACTCTCCACAGAGGCTCCTGGGCCGCCAAGCCAGCCATCAGCCTGGGCAACTCAGCCAAGGGCTGCCTGACCTCCAGCCACCCACCCTGTACCCCAATGCCTTCACCACAACCATCCCAGGAGGCTGGCACTGGGATGGAGGAAGGCAGGGTACTGGCAAGTGGGTGGGCCCCCACTGCCCACCCAGGCTGGGAAGGAAGGGGAGACTCAGGAAGGG